TGGTCACATTGATGCAGCGGCTGATCGGCGGTATGTCGAACAAATGCTCCAGCAATGCAGGTGGCCTTTGCGGAGGCCCAGCATGCTTACGACGGTCCGTCCTGCCACCTGATCCGTGCATTTGTGATGGATCGGAAGCCGTAATACTACCAGCACTGCCTGTGAAGACGCGTGGGAGCTCGTAAGGGCAAAAGATCAGCGCACGCGCAGCCCTACGGCGAGTCAAGTCCTAGACGCAGTGATACCATCAGACGAGATGCGTTGTAACCTGTCATTTTTCCTCCTGAGCGGCCAAGCGGGTGCGAGTGGTTGCTGTGTGATGGAGCACCTGGCATATAATCCACTGCTGTGTGACGCACAATGCGGGCGCCAAATTGTGATTTGTCTTACGAGAGCCTTTGCATTGACAGTCCGCTTGCGACAACAACGGACGCTGCCTAAACGCTTCGCATGCTGCCAAGTATGTGTAAGAAAGCTCGGCCGCTGGCTTGTATCAATATCGTTTATGTCGTATCTGCGAAGTAGGCGAAGGTGGGATATCGTCCGAAAAGCGAGGCGGCGAAGATGGCCACCCTCGATGCTCCGAATGTTGCACTCGTTTGCAGCACCAATATCCCAGAATATCGATCCCAATTGTGTAGCATAGCGAGCCATTGCACTGAAGAAAGAGGAAGTCCTTGCCCATCGCAGAGCTCATCATACTTTGTGCTCATCGCTTCTTCGGGATGAATGCAGTCGCTGACCAGTGTAGAAAAGGGGTATCAAGCTGATGTCCGCTGTGGCCAGCCCCCACAGCTCATACCGAGGTCTGTTGTCGGCTTCTTGTCCGATGTGGAAGCGGAAAGTGCTGGCTGACAAACAACTGGGTCAAGTTGCAGACTGATATCCTCGATGCCGCCAGCTCGAATGCTTCCGGATGAAGTCGTCCTCTGGCTTGGTAGCAGGCCTGACCTCAGCATGCGAAAAGGACTCCGGCACTTGTGTAACGCGCGCCAGCGTTCCTCTTCGACAATCTGTCATGAATGTGGCGATAGCCATCAAGAGGCCATCAGTGGTGTTGTCCGGGAATCGCTCAGTGAATCTGAGTCGAGCATGTAGTCCAAACAAATCTGACACTCACGATCCTGACCGTGAGTTGGCCCGTCTGTGTCTGTGCGCCGTCGCTCACCATTCTGCCTGATCCATCAGAACTCTAGCTCTTCCACCTCCATCCCACACGTCACGCACGTCTTGACCGTCATACCCTCCTCATTCTCGACAGTTCGGCCCCATTCGTGCACATGCCGCCCCCCTCCGCCCACGGCATCGCCAAACTTGCTCGGCGCTCCATTCTTGTTCCCAAGTGTTCCGGCCTGTCGACGAAATGCTTCCGTTCTCGTCTTGCGTTTTAAATCCAGCAGTTTCTCTTTGAACTTGGCCTCCTTGCGGGCCTTCTTTTGTGTTTCACGCCGCTCATATTCGGCATCCAGTGCTTCTGCCGATCCCCATTTCGTGCCGATGGCGTATTCTTCGACTTGAAATCTCAAGAACAGCATCATGTCGTGCCAGTGAGATTTGTGCGGATTTGGCTTATTCAGATGAGGAAGCAGCTCAGGGTCCCGCAGCTCAGCTGTAGACATGATTAGTATCACAAATCCCACGAGTACGAGAAGAGCTTGACTTACGATCTGTCAGAAGATAGTCTTCTTTGCACTCTGTCTTTGTCAACAAAGAGTACTTCTCGGGGTACTTGTCTTTGCACTTGTTGCACACGCAGACATGAAAGACTTCTTCCCAAACAAAGTCAATCTCCAGGCTGCCGCACTCCCTGCACTTCTTCCTCGCCTTCTGATCATCCAAAACGCTGATACCCGGCTCAAAAGGACCTGCTTTGAGTCGCCTGAGGTTTTTCAACGTCTTTTGCTTCTCCCATTCTTGAATCGTCATGCCCTTTGGCCTCTGTTCATCCACATGGCCGGGCTTTTGAGCTCCCAGCGCATAGTTGTGAGGGTCATCCTCCATGGAAAGGAAACCGCCCTTGGTGTCTGTCATCGAGCTCATGTTGTAGTCTACAAACTTTGTGAATTTGCGCGCCGGTCGGAGGGCCGCCTCGTCGCCCGCATTGCGCGCATCACGATTGCTGCCTCCTGCGATATCTCCAGTAGAAATTTCGTTGTAGGTTCGCTTCCCATTGACGGGTTTCGAGACGTGCACATTTTCGGTGGGTATGAATCCGGCGGCCGACTTGGGAAGCACCGTCGCAGTGCCTGAGGCTCGTTGCTCGGCTTCTCGCTGTTCACGGATGGCTTTGGCTCGGAGGCGACTCTCTTCCTGCGATTTCAATGCCATAGTCAGTAAAGGACTCTCACGGGCATCATCATGGCCAAACATACGATGCGCCTTGTCATCTCTGGGGTTTGCGATGACGCAACTTCCGATCTGCTCGGAGCCGGCGGCGTGGTTGGACGCTCCATCGTGCGTAGAATGAAAGTCGTGAGGATGGCGCCAATGGCTCAAAATGTATTACAAGGCGATTGGATGACAGAAGATTCAAATTCACAGCAGCGCATGAAGCATGGAGCCGGTCGTTTTGGGTGTTGAAAGATGATGATGCGCGAGGGGCAAAGACGTGACTGTGCAAGTTGGGAAAATCGCCCACTTAACGCGAGGTAACGTGACTTGATTACAGACCACACTTTACTAAGACAAGACATTGAGGGCTCTCTATCACGAAGTATTCCTGGCGAATGTAGAGCATTTACCACCTGATACATCATGGATCGGTGGTAGAGGCCCATGATGAAAGCAATGGTACTTCAGCTGCGGGCAATATATTCCCAAACAAAGGGAGAACTTTTTGTACCCATTATGAAATCCGACGCCGTGCCCCAAAGAGCCCTTTTCGTGTCCGCTCAAATATGGTACATCTACTCTATGAGATCTTTTACTCCTCCTTGGCACCGCCACGGCCGGCCTTCTCGGCAGCCTCGACGGCCTTCTTGTCGCTCTGGACGGAGCCGTTGGCACCCTGCATGGCGCTCATGAAGCCCTGGGCCTGCTTGAAGGGTCGCTTGAGATCGCCAGAGGCGGGCTGGCCGTAGATGTGGATCTTGGCGAGGTTGCTCTCGAGAACAGACTTGACGGGGATGATGCTCTGGATGACCAAGGGGTTGGTGTACTTCATGTACAGGTGCATGAAGGACATCATGGCGATGCCCATCAGCTGGCCGCGCCAGGCCTGGCGCAGCTGGTTGAGGTCGTAGGCGTGGATCGTGGTGGTGACGAGCTTGCCCTCCTCGGAGGAGCCCATGGGCGCGGGCTCAACGTACTTGAGAGTGGTCATGTCTAGAAGCCGGACGTTAGCAACCTTGACTGAACAAAGAGCTGCAAACACGTAGCATCAAAGCTGTCGCGTGTCGTCAGCGCAAAGTGGCGCATGCAGAGCCTTACCCTTCTTCTTGTTGATCTGGACCTGGATGTAGAAGTAGAGAGCGGCGATGAGGACATTGCTAGCGATGTAGACGGCGCGGACAATGTTGAGCACGTTCTCGTCTTCGAAGGGAATCCTCTTGGTGACCTGCATCATACCAAGTATGATCATCAGGTTGGTGCTGGCGCCGGCAGTTAGCGAGCTGTTCCAATGCAGACGTCTCCCATGGACTGCGACGAGTTATTCGTCTCTTTGTCCTGCCCCCATTGTGCCTCCTCCCCCGTCCTTCGCCTTCGCGACAAAGAAACGCCGCCACGACGTGAGCCAAGCTCGTGCAACTTACATCTGCGGACTGATGGCCATTGTGTCGACGACTGCAAGCGCAGTGATGCTGAAAGACGGATTCAGGTATGGAAACGGAAGAAGGAGCCCGTGTGCTGAGTTGGCGAGCAACGGAACGGTCGTCTTTGCTGGAAGCGAACAGCTGGTCGTTTGAAGGGTCCAGGTTCAACGTGTCGACCTTTTTTCGTTGGGGGCTTTGCTGGCCTTTCCGGCGATGGGCTGCACCTTTTTCCGGGGGCGAATCAGGGCTGCCCCGCTTCCTTCTGATAAGGGACTTGGGGTACCTGATGTACAGCTGAGGCGCCATTCCTTTGGCTTCCGGCGCATTCGATTGGCCAGATGGTTTGTCGCCTTTGTTCAGTGATTCGACCCCAAAACGGAGGAGACTCAAGACAACCGCATATATTCTGTTCAGCGTCATTGTCACCAAAGGATCAAGCTTCTATATTATCTATATGCAAAGTCCCAGGCAGCAATCAATTGGCAATGAACAAGTACTTTTCCCCGCATTGAAACCCTTCATCTTTGGTCTTTGAATGCCACGTGCCCGCCGGAACGAGTCCTAGTTTCAGACGGTTCAATGCTCTTTGTGCTTTCCAAGACACCACCACTCATGGCTCAGCAACAGACTGGACCAGCTTGACAAGCCATCGTGCTTATGAACAGTTCTTTGACCCGGTAACATGACGAGAAGACAGTCAAAGTATCGTCATGCAATAATCGCCTCTCATTGCCCCTTCTCCAATGGGAGTACACGGCCAGCAGTGTTCAAAGAATGCACGGCCACGCTCTGTTCAATCATCTGCCTGGCCTCAGCTCATGTTCTCCATTGGACCTCCTTGAATCTTCAAAGGCGCTTCTATTTTGGCATCACGTCGAGTGGCACTATCTAAGGTACCCAGTGAGCAGGAGTATTAAAGATGAAAGACATCTCATCGGTAAGTTATCTTGCCTTCTCTCACCGCAACCACCACAACTCCCACTTCCATCACCGCAATCATCGCACTGAGGCAACGACATTCGCCGCTGCGGCACACAACTCATCCACTACATGCGCGAGCTCGTTGAGAAACTAGTTGTCAAGAGGCGATACAAGAGAACCGAAAGGATGAGCGAGTCGTATCGAATGAACGAGTACTTCCGTGAGCGGCTCGGTGAGCGCTCGTTCAGGCACGTTGCTTTCCCACCCCATCACCTGCCATCATCCAGCATCGGAACCATCAGGTGCGTGACGCCGGGCCAGCCTGCAATGCCAACACCGCAGCAGCCGCCGCAACAGCCGCCGCCGCCCCAGCCTCAGCAGCCGCCTCAGCAACAGCAGCAGCAGCCTCAGCAGCCGCAGTATGGAGCGTTTCTGATGGCGATTGGAGCCGGGTTCGCGGCACCACCCCCAGCCTTCATGGGAATGGCAATGGGTATGATGAACGGCAACGGCGCCCTCCCTCCAGGAGGTCCTCCAGGTTGTCCACCAGGGCAGCCGGGGCCCCCGCCACTGCGCCCTGAATTCAACCTCACAATCAAAGACAACACTCGCCCTGGCGGCCACATGTACACCATCGCCATTGGTCCCACCGACACAACCAGTTTCATCATCAATTTCATTTCGCCCGGCAGCCACAACGGTTTCGAAACCCTGACTGTGCGATGGAAGAATGCCACGAGGGAGGCGCTCACTCCCCGGATCACTCCAGAGGAACTGAGGGACCGGGCCGAATACATCATCATTGATTCCCTTGGGTCCCGTTTCTGCTAGAATGCTCTTCTTCAGGCATGTCAAGCGAGTCGCCCACGACGAGATCCACGAACAGGATTGGGCGATGCAATGTCGGCATGGGCTTTGTGATGGGCAGAGTGAGCACAGGTTGCTTCTTGAGGGTTTTGGCGTATACTATGTTTGTTTCCCCTTGCTTGTCTTTTCCTTTCATATCTCACCTAGTTGATCAACACATACAATATTTCGCTGGCGCTTCGTACTCGTTCCTTCACCTGATACATCATGTACAGGTCGTTTCTGTGTCAATCGCATACAAGTGCAAGTTGGCAAACCTGGTCTTGCAAACGCCCGCTCACAAAGTGACGTGACATACACAAATGCCCTTTCCACTACCTAGTCAGCTTTCCATCTACCTACCATCAACTCTCCGTACCACATCCGTCATCTCCCCTCCCGACGCAAAACCACACGCAAATGGCAATTGCTAGGTACTGTAACTCTTTCCGTAAACCCACGGTCCGGGAACCAGGGGCCTGGTTCATCGCTCCAAGATACTCCACAAAGCGGCACAAATCTGGCCGCATCGACTGTCTGCTGGAAATGAGATCTCTCCGTGACTCACCGCGCCCACTTTTCTTTAGGCAACACACCAGGGTGGTTGACAACTTGACAGCCAAGTTCGACAGCTTCAACTTTGGATCTCTCAACCATAGGCTCGTTATCGTTGGTTGTCCCCCCCGAAGAGGTCAGTAGTGATGTTAACCGAACACCCGTTTAAGCATTTGCTCCGTCGTGTTGGGTACTTTTGAGGTGCTCTCTTTTCTCTTATATCGCTTTGACCCCTGTTGACGGAATCGCACTTGTCCTCCGTCTGGTGTCCAAGAGCCAACACCGCGGATTCCAGTGACAGAACGAATGACTCAAGCCAGCCTATCCATCTAAAGCAAGTCGCATTGAATAGAATCCTCCCAAGATTGGCACAGTCGGCAACATCCATTGCTCGTCCACTTTCTTTCGAGCGTTGGATGCCTGAGGAGCTTGCGCTGAATGATTTTGTATCGGCGATAGACCGCATGACAGGTGCATGCAAATGATCGCTGTGCGTCAAAGTGGCTGCATGCGTTCTTGCAAGGGCTCTTGCGCCGGAAGATTATCTTTAGCAGGTGCATAGACTTGCATATGCAAACAGATCAAGGGTGCACATGTATGGAAAAAAAGAAGATGACAAAAGGAAGAAGGCTTCATAATCCGACAACTATCTACGTCTGGTATAATAATTACGTGTATACAGAAACTGCAGTGGAAGCAATCGTCTTGAGCCAGTCTCATTGTGCTATGATTGACAGGCCCCGGCGATTCGGCTCCGAACCCGTTTCAAGGCCCCATGTCCGGCGCGGGGGGCTTCGGCTGTGGCGCAGGCCATCCACGCCACCAATAGTGCCGATTCGTTTCTGTCTGTCTCAGTTGGCGCTCATACCCACGTTTAACCAGGACGTTCTTCTCGTACAACGGCCTCGTATAGCGGCTTTGGGGTTTCTCGTGTTCTATCACAGCGCTATTCACTTTCTCGTATCGTATCAACTTGTGCGGCACTTGTCAAGCAGGGAGAGACAAAGACTGAGGCTTGGGATGTCGGTCACGTTACCCGGTAAGCATAGGCTAAAAGGATGGGAAGGGAGATCCTTCGGCGGGACGGTGACCTTGATCATGTTGGAATTTGGAATGCTCGTGTGTGTATCTTTCAGAAAAGTATGCGTTTTCTTCGTGTTCTTTATAATGAGGTCGTAAGGCAGAAAGCAAGGTATTTCAGTCTCTTGTATGGACCCATCGTATAAGCGCAAACACCAGGGGCGAAACGGTGAGGCATACACATCATGCGCCGGCGAGAAGGTGATGAGCTCCAAACTACCGGTTTAAAAAAGGGCATTGTTAGCAATAGTTCAGATTATCCCACAAATAGGCATGGGATCCGATCAACTGCGGACCAGGCTTACCAGGTCCTCGGCCTCCCTGCAGATGAGAGCAGGAGGATCCCGTCTTCTTGTTCCTTCAAGATGCGCGGCGATCAGTGAGATTCTCACGCCCAGATAACCGGTCGCCGACGAATCGCGGTTTGCGCCTCTTCTAGGTAAGCAATATATCAATCGAACAATATGTCCTTAAAGAAGAATGGAGGAGTCTGTCGATACCTACGGTGATGCCTGTATAGAGCCTTCAGCCCTACCGGGCCGATTTAGCGGAGGGAATACAGACGTACAGGAGCGTAAATCATCATACACATATAACGGAGTATGTCGCATCTCACTTGATACGCCGTGCAACCAACGGGGTCCCAGTCGTATAGCCGAAGTGAGGCGGATGGCGGACTGAAGGATGAGGAGCAGCCACTAATAGGCTCAGCCCGTGCCGGATTGAACCATGAATGCGACGCTACGGCTCTACTCCGTCCTGCTGCATAGGGCAAGATTGCGCTCATTCTCTTTGGCGCGCTCCAGAGCGGCGCAGGTGACTTGCAGGTGGCTTGATTTAAGGCTGTGCTATTCGCTCTCATTGTCGGACGGTAGAGAGACAGTGTAGACGCGTATTCTCGAGCAAGCTGAATCGCAGCGTCTGTTGTATGCATCTGCCTTTTGAGATGCTTATTTCTTGCCACATTCCCTCTGGTGAAGTTCTATCTTATTTGGAATAAAACACTCTATAATAAGAGAAGAACCGGAAATGCAGAAATTCTCTATCGGTCTGCGTCATACCGATGCTGTCATCGTATGTACTGCAACGAGGCTTTTTGTCTTGGGCGAACATCCGATCCTGGCCTCTCGACTCCGGTCTCAGGGCCTATGACAGCAACCGGTCGAGTCCTCAACATCACCGCAGGCAGTTAGGGCAATGCTCAGAAAAAAAGGTCTCAAATTACTCTATCAATATGGGGTCAAAAGAATATTGGATGGCTGGTATGGCTCTGTCGATAGTTGTCTTCAATGCTTCAACTGTTCTGATTCCGGGGATGATACGAAGCCGTCATCAACCATGGCCCTGGCTCAAAGCCTCGCCCCAACCAGCCACAACCCAATCTCCCATGTCGCGGTCACAAAAAGGGACATGGCCGTATTGCAAAGCCCATGATTCTAGAACACGCTGATGCACAGCCACGGTCCTTCTGTCGTGCCCTTCTCATGGTTGTATCGTATGTGCCATGTAAGTAGAGGGTAAGGCATGCCTCGCTGGCCTCGGTTCGAACGTCTATTCGCACCAAGGCTGCGGACTTTTGTGGTAGCACGCAAGCCACGCTCTTAGACTGAGATCCTGCCTCAGGTCATAGCTGCTGTTATAGTTTGTCTATTGGCTCTTGGCTTTTGGTTTCCAGGTCATGGTGCTCTGCGTCCTCGGTGCTTACATACATGTATTCTGCGAGGAGTTGACTCTCTGTTCTCTTCCATGGGCCATCTGTTGTATACGCACCCCCTCAATGACACTTTCCGCTGCCTTTCTTGCTTCTATCGGTCTCAGCCTAGTATAACTCAGTTTATTCATCATAGTCACCCTCTTTCTCAGTCCATAACCGCACCCATTTCGACTCTTCATTGTCTTGACTGCACATCTGTTCTCATCTTCTTCTCCTCTCAGCAAGAATCAACCGCCAACTCCCCTGTAAACTGCTGTAAATTCTGCCGCTGTTTTGGGCAGCCCCACCCGCGGGAGCCTAGCTCTAGCGCCCTGAGCTCTCCACACAAGCCCACCCCTCATTAGCTGCGCACGCTGACAAGCCATCCGCCTGCCCAATCGCAGCGCCCGGCTTTTTCCAGTGGCAGCTCTTCCCCTACCGGCTCCGCCCACGAACCATCTCGAGCTTCGATTTCTTGCATCAACCGCCTGATATGCTGCCAACCAGCAGACAATCAGGCTGCCGGATGCCCGCACCCCCTCGGACAGCCTCGGCCTCGCAGGCTGCACTCCCTCCCTTCCAGGATGGCGGTCCCGGATCTGGCACAAGGCCCTGACCGATCCAGACAAGAGTCACCACCATGGCCGCTTGTCTGCCGTGCGGTTCCCTGGAGGGATCTGGAGGGGCCAGGGGCAGAAACGACATCGTCAGTGGAGAAGGGCCGTGGCTGCCTGGCTGGCTGATCAAGTCGTCAAATCCTCCAGCCAGCCGGGTCGAGATATAAGAGGCCATGTTTTGCCTGGATTCACAGGTTGCTCTTGTTGTTCAGTCAGTACGTTAGTGCATTGAATCACTTCAAGTTTTATAGGCGTCATTCAATCTCTTGGGTCATATCAGCATTGCATTCTGGGATCCGAGTCATCACTGCCTCCGTCGATGCGAAACCTTGTGGGCTCACAACTGCATCAATACCTTTCCTGTCCCATACACCTATAGCGTTTCTATAGGACAATCCAAGGACTTCTTCTCTTCGCTTCATATTCAGCTCCTGCTACTTGCGCCACCCCGACCTGAAGCTACTGCTACACAAACAGACGTCCAACGTCTATAGCCATGTTTAACACATTCAAGATCGACCCTGAGACGAACAGCGTCCAGGAGCTCAGGCGGGCCTCTGATCCCATCTCAGCCCGGTCAAGCCAGCACCAGGCGTGCAACAACTGCCACGCTAAAAAGGTACGAAGCTGCAGCAAACACGCCGCTTGCAATGAACTGCGTAACACTGTTGATGATCCTGCGCTAACGGTCACGCCCTCGAGTAGCTCAAATGCAGTGGTGAAAAGAGTGGCTGTGAGCGCTGCATCGCCAGCCAACTACGATGTGAATACACTCGCTCTCCCTCTCGCAGAGGCGGCAGGAAATCCAGCGGCAGGAACTCCACTGACAGCCGTGGCGGATCGGAGCTGGCCGGTGGCGACAGCAGCCCCAGCAGCCAAGCTGGCAAGTCAAGGCACAGAAGCAGCAAGCACTTGCATGCCGTAGCCAGCAGCAGCAGGTCCAGGGCATCAGCATCCAGAGATGAAGAATATGGCGATGCGCTGGACCTATTCGACCCCACGACGCTCGGTCCTGACGATGGCTTCGATCTGCGCTCATTATCCTTGGAGGCTTCGGATGGTGGCTATGGCAGCGGTACTTATTACAACCAGCAGCAGCAGCAACAGCAGCAGCAGCAGCATGGTCAGGGAAGCTGGCAACACATGTCTTCCAACGACCAGTACGGCAACTTGTCCGGCAGCTCATACATGGGCACGTCCAACTCCAGTGGTCAAGACTACGACGTGGACTACTACGGACATTATGACGAGTACGGACAGTATCATAGCCACCAGAACGACCCCCGATACTGGGGCGGCCAGCAACAATAGGCCCCGTCCGTTGTTTTTCTTTGCATCTGGGTTTTACCTCATTTGCGTTGTATTTCCTCTCCTCAGTTGGTCCCTTTCTTCCCCTCCTTTTCCTTTCACACGCTGGACGTAACCCATGGCGGCGATATAAGTGAGCGGCTGGGGAGAAATTCAGCGCCTTTAGATTCATGCCTAGAATACCCTTCTCAGCGACTACTTGTACATTTGGAAGTCCCTTCCCGTTTTGCTTTTTGTCCTTCTCTTCTTTCTCGTTACTTCTTTTCCTTTGTGGCTTTCTTGTTCTGGTCGCCGCGAGTCCCTCTTCCCCCTTGCATGACGCATGCCGCCTGCAGCTGCTCAGCTCTAGGAGAAAGGGGTGCTCGAACGGGCCGTGTACTGTTTTCCATTCATGCGATTCGATAGAGGCTTTGCCGGTAATGGGCTTATGATTGGATGATTTACTGGATTGGCTATAGACCGCTTGCTATTGTAAGCATAATCAGATATGATGTTACATTTGGATGCACGAGTCGTCTCTGGCCATGGACTATACTATGGCTTTCTTGCCTTCTTTGTTGCAGCCTGATGGAATAACTGGCTCTCCGTCATGTGCAACTGCCCTCCTCATCATGGGACCATTTTGACTCATCTCAGAGACGTCCCATGAGTCAATACTAATGCCTCAACAACACAAGAACGCATACGCAACAAGGACAACTATCCAGGCAACCATACTTGCTCGTCTCAATATCAACAGTAATTCCATCGCCCAACAGCAAAGCAATTGGATATAAAAGGCCGAAAGGGGGCGCCAAGGAGGTATACGTACGTATACATTCTCGGAGAATTAAAGAAAAGGGTGGGTAACGTGATGGCATACTACCTTGGGTAGGGTACGTCAACCGGATCCTGCGAACAGTCCAAGTCAGCCCTGCAAGGCACGTCACTGCGTTGCATTGGGTGGCTGCCTTTGGAACCTGGAGGGACTTGTCTTTGCGGACACCCCTTTGGGATTGTGTAGGGTGGTGGTATCTATAGATTTTGCTTTGTCGGGGTTGGGTTGGGGTTGGGGGGAGTGAGTGAGCGTGCGTGAGAGAGAGAGGTGCGTAGGGTGGTGATGGAAGTTGGATGGAGGAGCGCTTGGGTAATGGTAGGCGAGCGCTGGACTGGATGGCACTGTGGCTGGAGTCATTATAAGAGAGTGGCGATCTGTATTTTTTTTCTTTGTCGTGCGTTGGATGGACTCTGGGAGTTGGAGGTGGATGAGGTGGGTTACTGGATATGGGTTGGTGGTTCGCCGTGTTGGATGCCTTGCATGGGTGGTGTGAAGATGGTGTGGCACTTGTCGTGATGGCTACATGTAGAGAGATAGAGAGAGATAGATGCTGGTGATGAAACTACATGTTAGCCTGTTATATATTGCAAAGCGTGGGACCGAGGGACAGGGAGGTTGACTTGATGCACGTGAGGGTTTTGTAAGATGGTATCATTCAGTGAATTATGCCCTGTATGCAGCCTCTTGGTGTAGCTTCTCTTTTTCTGTCATGGCCTACCTTCTACGCGTTGAGCTGTGGTCTCATGAGAATACATGCAGAGACAAAAGCAGCTTAGGTGCGATCCTTCGGCCGGGGGCTCATATCATTCCCAAGTTTGTTTATGGCTTCATCTACTTTTCCTGTTACAGAGTACACCAAAAGACAAATGAGACGTCTCTTCAGAATGGAGAAGGGAGCAGAACGAGGTATAGATGTGTCTGCTCATGCTTGTCCAATGGTAGGTTCATGTAGTATGTGCTTAGGCAGCAAAAAGGGATTCTTTCCATGACAAATGCTGAGCGTTTTGTAAGCTGAATCCTTTGACCAAGGAGTTACCCGATGAGTTATTCATTCGGTGAAGTGCAAAATCTTGCTACGTCTATGCTCTATGTTGCGCGTTTGTCTTCCATGACACGGGCTTCCATGGGGGCCTTGGACTTGGGCCGAGTCGCGTCCATGTAGGCCTCGTCATCGTCCCTGACGGACTTGAACAGCGCCCTCGCAATGACCAGCCGCAGCACCAGCGACAGCAGCGAAGTGAGCATGATGCCGCACGCAGCGAGGAGCTGGATCCCAATGTACTTGCCCGTGCCGTTCAGAATCGCACCCGAGATGGGCGGCCCGATGAGCGACCCTATGCCCTTGAGGATGGACACCATGCCCAGCCTCGTGCCCAGGCGGCTCATGTCAGGGGTGATGGATGTCAGGACGACGGAGCCGAGGGCGACGACGCTGCCGGACCAGAAGCCGTAGAGGACGGCAAAGGCAATGTTGCCGGCGGCGTTTGTGACGCTGATCCAGTAGAAGACGCTGGCGCTGCTGAGGGCGCAGACGACGACGTACGTGTCCAGGGAGCCGACGCGGTCGGCGACGAACCCGGGGATGATGCGGCCCGGGATGGAGGAGGCGTTGAGGATGGGCAGCAGGTAGGCCGCGAGGGCGTGGCCCCGCATGCCGTGCAGGACGGCGTAGCTCTGCAGGTAGTACGGCGGGTTGAAGAAGGACAGGTTGTTGAAGAAGATGGCGACGCAGTAGAGCAGGTACGTGCGCTCCCGGAGGGCGGACGGGTCCCAGAACCAGCGGATGGAGAAGCCGCCCGCTTGCCAGCCGGGCTTCTGCTTCTTGCTGCTGCTGAGCGCCGCCGCCGTGCTGCTGCGAGGCCGGATGAGGAGGAGCGCAAACGAGCACATGGCAAACGCCATGAAGCCCATGGCCCGCATCGTCCACCCGAAGCCGATCGCTGGCCGGAGCTTCTCAAACATGAGGGGGTACAGCGTCGCGCCGAGGCCGCTCCCCACGGTGGCGAGGCCCATGGCGCGGGCCCGGCGGCGCTTGAAGTACATGGGCACGATGGCGATGGACGGGATGGACAGGCAGCACGCGCCCAGGCCGAGGCAGACGCCCTGCGCGAGGAGCATCTGCCAGTAGCGCGTGCTGACGCTGGCGAGCATGAAGCCGAGCGTGACGAGGAGGGTGCCGGCGGCCAGGAGGGCGCGGCAGTAGCCCGCGTCGTAGAGCGGGCCGATGAGGGCGCCGACGGACATGAGGCAGAAGATTTGGATGGAGCCGATCCAGGAGATGGACGACGGGGAGGAGGTGCTGAGGAGGTCCGTTTCGTAGTAGGTCTGGAAGACGCCGAAGCTGTTGAGGAGGCCCCTGGATTGAAGCAAATTCACGAAGTGTGGCCACGGTTAACGCGCAATTCTTTCTAGTTCAAATGGAGAGTTTGTTTTTGATGTCATGGGATGGATTATCATTGTTGGATATAGCGTACAGGTGGTTGAAGTAGAGGAGAAAAGAGGCGACGACTTGGAGCCATGCTTGCAGTCCGCCGTCTGGAGGCGCGTTGCTCTCGTCGTTTTGGTTCTGAGTCTGATCTTGGGTATCTGGTTCCGGGAGCTGTGCCTCATGCCGTGCTGGCTCTGTGAGAACGCTCGCATCGACATCGGTAGCACCGATGGGCTTTTCGTGCTGTATTTCGATTATCGACATGGCCGGGGTATCGCGATTACATTGAGCGACGTGGCGAGACGAAGCATTGTCTTGTGCTGCGCTGTTTCGGGCATTGAGAGGAGGAGGAGGAATCAAGGAGGGTTACATATGCGCGGGAGCCGGTTCTTGAAATACTAGAGAGAACGGGGGGAAGATGGTCTCGCCGGAACCGGTGTGCGAGGTTGTATTCCCCCGCTGGGGAGGGAGGGACGGCAATGGCACTGAGATATCACGGCATTTGATCGGTGAATGGGATGAGGGAGGGGATCTACTATGTATGTACTACAAGTATGAGTTGGTGCTGGGGGGGGTTTCTGCAGGGAATAACTCGGGTGAGGAAGACGGGTAGAGGTGCTGTGGTTTATGCGGGGGTTGATGGAGAAGGTGAGTGAAGGTTGGAGGAGCTTGAGGCTCGGGTACCTCACGTATATATATGTTTGTCCGAACAGAGTGAGTGGTGGATTCTGTCTCGAATGATGCTCTGTATCGGTTTGGATCTCGGTTCTTACCTTATCTGGCTTTGAGTGAGTCCATGTATGTGTGATTGCAAGTCCATGTTGACAAAGTCCAAAGGGGCTGAGACCGGATTACATCAGCCATCTACGAGTTTGTCTCATCAAGCCATCGGAATCTCTCAATCATGAATCGGTGGGCAGTACTCCGTACGTGCAGATGCTTCAAGCATCAGCTTGAATGGCTGGTGAGAACAAGGAATCATAAATACCAGCGTCTATCCCCTACGAACCCGGGCCATCAACTCGGCCGTCTTTGATGGCAGGCAGGTAAGCTGATCAGACGTGCTCTGGTATGGAGAAGCATCGGAAGCTGTAAACAGAGATGCAACAGAACGAAAACAAGGGCAAAGGAAACTAGGAAAAATGGCAATCCACTCGCGTGCATGTGCACCTGCAGCGCCTGTGGTATCATTTGGACGATCTTTGAAGCGTCTCGTATGTGCTGGGTAGTACTTATAGTCGAGGGACAAGATGGAACAACTTGAGAGCTCGATCGATGTCGCTCTCAGTTCGGACATCTCACCTCCCATCTTGCCGTACCTACAGTAAGGTATGTAGGTACATGTATGCACCCAAGTTGGCTCACCAGCAAACGGAGACTTTTTTCCCACGGCAATTCCATCACATACTGGACATGTACGGAGCTATCCAACAACTTGCGCCAAAACTGAGTAAGAGGGTGTGGCTGCTCCATCTTCTTCCTCTCAAGACAACCTGTCCGCGGTGTCGGTGCCGGTTCGGCCTGGCCTATGTCATCTGTGCCACGTTCTTGGCCCGACATCCGATCGAGAAAAGGGCACCAGGCAGACACGCAGCATCAGCAAAATCATTTCGTACCTAAGGTACGTTATATGTACGAGTACGAAATTGACGGCTTCCATCTCCCTTCTCTGCCTCTTTGTTAACCCCGAGCTCCAGCTGCATCAACTAACACTCAATGGTGTTCTTCCATTTTTTTTTTCCCAGGGTCGCATCGTGACCCGCTGGTGCCGGGCAGGAAATCTGGGCTTGCATGGCTAGCTCACGGCCGAGGCGTGAAGCTCGGTGACGAAAACCGGTAGCTTGTCGCGTGTAAATATTTCCTCTTCCTCCAATTGCCCATGTTGAGCAGGGGAAAAAGAAGGATATACAGAGAATCAATTCCAAGGGGAACGGGATACTGCTGGGACTTGAGCTCTTGAGCCCCGGTTCATTTGCCACCTTCCATCTCAAGATCGTGCATGAAGGGGGTTGGTTTGCCTTGATGACGAAGAACTGTTCAGTTCTTGAGGGAGAAGGAGGAGCTAAAACAGGAACAGGAACAGCATCATTCCAGTTGCTTTGCGGGAGACGTGGAAGCTCGCACGAGTTGGTGTTCCAGTACCAAACCCGGTCTCCGTGCCAGAAGTACATGTCATGCTTGTACAGTCCTCGCTTGCATGAGGCTAATGTTAACCTCTGCAGCAGGTACTGCTGAGACACAGCCAACACTGTGTCGCGTGGCCCTGTTTTGAGCCCTTGTTCTCCAATTACATGTACCGTTTACATCATGGATGTCCCCCCCATAAAGTCAATTGGCGCTCGCTGCAAGAAAGAGGCCCGAACTCCGTGGACCCTGATATTGGAGGGAGGGCATCAATCACGCCGTGGTGCGACGGATTGGTAATAGTAGTAATGCCACAACTGCCGGCGCGGGCAGTGATATTGGGGGTCCCAGTCCAAATACCGTACTTGTAGTACGTCTGTACTGCTCAGAAAGGAACACCGAGATGGCTTGTGATTGCAAGTACAGGCTGTAGGCAAAGTCACGGATGGAATGTGTTCAATCTGGGTTGAATTGCTTCTTGTTAAATTAAACTCCTTGTGTACCTGCTACTGCAGCCTGTCCTGCATCTAAAGTGTCCAAAACATGGGGCCCCTGGCCGGTGGCAGTAATTACGGCTTTGCGGAGTAGCACATCCGTCTCGAGTCAACGTTCGAGACGAGGCGAGACGAGACGCCATCCGGGCCGTCTCCCGTCTCCTTTTGCCATCATCTACGGAGAGCGCTGTACCTGTGATACCACTACCTGAATGCGGTAGTAGTAGTGGGCAGTACTTGGCTATGTCCTCCGTAGATTGTCTAGATCTCGCGAAACCCCCTATTCTCTGCCCGTTCGATGCCTGTTCTATGGGGTAACACCGCCGACAGCTTGGAGACAAAGAGCTTGGACATGTATCGTCAGGTGACTGCGTCTGTCCGGTATCCTTGCATCCAGATGTGACACAAGTGAATGAGCGAGGACAACGTTATAACTCGTAGTAATTCATCATAGATCCCGGTGCTGCGGCTGAGGAACAGCTCGTAGGGATAGTATCACGAGCAGTACAGTCACGTTCCATCGAATGCACGGATGAGGTGATGCGCATGTCGGTGCCGGGAGCTGACGACTACTAGTATGACTACTGTGTGCATCTCTTGTGCATGGCGATGACTTCTCGGTGGTGAGCATGACCGGTTAACCAGGAAGGGTGCAAAGCAGTGATTCGTGAATGCAGCAGGCACGAGTGAGAAGCTGCCGCGTCCTCGGTACCAAGTCTGTACTAATGCATCTTGCTTGGTCTTATGATGCGTCGAAATAAGCTGTCATGGAGCGAGTTTTCCCAGCTGCCTGGGCCCGTTGCTGTTATCAAGCTACGAGCTTTCGACGAGGGATGCCATCACGAGAGAGTCTCGGAATTGCCCGGCAGGGCCTGTTGGGCAGTTGGTAACGAGGCCCGGAAGATTCTCGATTCAAGCTTGTCGTGCTGCAGCCTCAGCGAAAATCACTAAACGGAATTTGATATCATCATGCAGCGCGTCTATTTTTAACTTTGCAGCATCGCATCATCCTTCCTTTCAGCAGGCGCGGGGTGACATGTGAGGAGAACTCCCACAGGAGTTTGCTCTCTCCGCAGTTCAATTACCAAGCTTGTGCCCCCTTGCTTCACAGCTTCAGTTGGTGAATGCTAATCTCAAGCAGAGTGTTAGGGTACTAAGGTAGGTACGCGCACATGCTAGGTTAAGATTCGAGTACGAAGTGACCGCGCAAGTTCTACCCCCGTGCGTCATTTCCGCATTCAGACATTGGTGAAGGGAAGGATAAAAAAGAAATCCCCGTGATTTGGCCAAGCATACCTAGATATTCACACGGACATCATCTCTGCTGCATGCCAAAAACGCCCACAGTGGACAGCGAATGAAAAGGTGCAGCAACTCTCGGGACACATCGAATGACATGACGACTCAATGTGGTGTCTCAGGGTCCAATTACAAGTCCCAGGTGGGCTTATTGTCTGTCGGAGTTATTAGTGGTGCTTTTGCCCCAGTGGCTCGTCGGACCTGGCAGCTAAAATCGAGACACGCACAACGCACACCAGATCGAATACGTAAGGCTCTTGTTTAGCTTGAATACCTGCTACATACGAGGGAGAATAGAGACGATCCAGGGGGAGAAAAGAAAGTCAAGAGAGAAAAGGAAAGCAGTCAAGCCTGTTACTCGTGTGCTGTCACAGAAACGATTCAAACGCTGGAAATTACAACCTGTCGCGTGAGCACCTCCCAATTGAAGTCACTTTCAAGTACTCCATAATGCACTGTACGCGCTCTGCAGCTCCCCAATCAAACTTGCAGGTACTAAGGTATTGATGGAATGTCTTGGTGATCCTTCAGTCCAGGTACAACTACGACGGTAGAAATCAAGTCGTGATGTGCACAACGCAGCTGAAGGCGTAGTGCGTAGATCAGCGTACCTCATTGTTCAATCAGGGCAAGGTCGGCGTACTCGTACAAAGTACCGCAGTGGACGCGTCAGGGCTTTGCTCGGGAAGTTTCAGCCACCAGCAAATTCAGTTGATCCATGGATGGATGCCTTTCATGGACTTCAGACTTAGGTTGCTTATTAAGAACGGAAGCCACTGAACGCACAGCAATGCTGATGGTGAATGAAGCCCAGATCCAGCAGCCGTGGAGGTGCTTCGGTCATGGCACAGCACTAACCGCGACGACGGGCTGCAACAAAAACCGCTCTAGCAGCTTCTCGCCGTCTCCCCAGTTAATCGCGAACACCGACCGGTACGTACCTGCTATAACTTGTCCAAAGCACAACTGAAAACATTGCAAGTGTTGGACGATCCGCTGCAGCCGCGATCCGGGAGCAGAATCCGGCCAAGGTACCGCTACATGCGCCTCTCCTGGAGGGATCAGCGCCAACAGGCTGGGCCAGTCAATGCAGCGAGCTCAACGCACTAAATCCATCGCTAAAATGAGCCCGCCAATGTGCCCTTCAGGTGCGGCTCGTACCCGCTACATGGACCTGTACTATGGATGTACCTAAGTATCCGTGCCAGCTTCAAGGTTGATGCACCCACTGGCAAAAGCACCCCACCCCTCCAGTGCAAAGCAAAGGCCGCACCAACAGCCTGGCCCATCAATTCCGGCCCCAAACCTGCAGAAAGGGACCCAGGCCAGGCCGCCAGTCTCAATGAGGCCTGCTTGCAATTGTAAGCTGCCGGACAAGGGGTGGGGGGTCGCTGCGAGGATGGCCTGAGGGCACTGGGACCGCCGGTGCTTGGGAGCTTGCCGAGCATGCCCCGTTCCGTACAGACTACCCCGTTCCAGTGTGCCCGCGACTGCATCTCCAATAGTACCAGAGACTCGCGGCGCTATCCCCAGCCACGTATCTGCTACCTCGCTCGCATGTCGCGCCTCCAGTGTTAACCCCGGCCGGCTCCAAGGACTGCTCTCGCCTGGACTGGCGCAAGTACAAGCACCGCGTACCCTCTGTTTCCAGTACCCTCCACAGCACTTTACTCGGACGCCGTTAGTGCTCAGAATCCCCCCCCATGTCCGCCTCAGTCGACTTCAGACCTTGGCCCGCGATCTCCCTCCCACAAATCCTCCCACTCCCACGCGACCTTGCCTCTTCTTCCTGACCGAAGCCTGCTCTCGCCTGTCCCTTTTTTCTCATAACTGTCACACTCGCCTTCACTCCCGTCACGATGGCTTCTCAACTCCTGCTTGATTCTTCCAAACGGAATCCCGCCCTGCTGTAGGCCCTCGCCCTGCCCGCGGAGCACGACGAAGAATTGCTTGCCGACGCCGAAAACCTTGCTCCCAACCTTATCTGCAATTCTTTGCCTCTCGGACCCTTTGATACTCTCCGATCATCCTCGAATATACCCATATTCTCAAAAGACTCTCCATCTTCCCTCTCTTCTCCTCTTGCGTCAGGGGCTCAATCCTTCGATCCTCACCATCTTGGGCACGTCTTGAGTCGACCGGCCACTGGCGTGCTTGCCTGTTTCGAGCCCCATCGATATCTCAACCTTCTCATCGTCCTCCGAACGTTAAACCAGAGCGCTCCATTAGCTTGGCCAGCCACAAAGCCCAATCCCAACAAAGCTGCATCGCTTCCCAAGCTGGTCGGCATGGCACTCAATATCCTTTCCGACAGCAAAATCGTTCCCTTTGTGTCCGAAGCAGCTGCTCTTACAGCTCCCCCGCTGTATTCGACCCTGTGTCGGACTGACGAGCGCGACCTGATGTCCTTTACTGCCACCGAGATGAAGAGCCACGGTGCCGTGGATGAGCAGCCCACTAGCGGAGAAGAAGCCCCCTCGCGCCTTCAGCGTCGCGCCGTGGTCCAGCAAGTATCACTATCCTCAACGCTGCCCAGAGCCCATGCCACATCTGGTGAGTTTCCATCTATCTGGTATTTTTTATCATTGGCGACAGTTGGTGCTGACCATGATTGTAGATGCTGCATCAGACGGCTCATTAGTATCAAATACTACGTCACACACCTCCGACATCCCCCTGGCTCCCATAGAGGGCAGACCGGTCAATTTTGGCTTGGTTGTCCCTGGTGTCTACCGCAGCAGCTATCCCAAGAAAGAGGACTTTGCCTTCCTGAAGGGTCTGAAGCTGAAGACAATAGTGTACGTGCCGCCGTCTACTCAGCTTCTCAATCGCCAAAGCTAACCATGCAATAGCACGCTGGTCAAGAAGGATGAGCCTGACCATGACCTCGAGGCCTTTGTCGCCGCCAATGGCATCCAGCAGGTCATCTTCAACATGAAGGGGACAAAGAAAGAGCCAATCCCCCCCAGTACCATGGCGGCCATTCTGGAAATTGTCCTCGATCGGCAAAATTACCCGCTCGTGATACACTGCAATCATGGCAAGCACCGCACCGGATGCGTCGTCGCCGTCGTCCGCAAGCTATCGGGCTGGAATCTCGAGAGAGCGCTCGACGAGTACAAGAGCTACGCCACCCCCAAAATCCGGGAGTGCGACGTCGATTACATCACCGCATTTCAGCCCAGTTCTCTGGAGATGATTCGGATACGACCAGCCCGCGGGGAACATGGGCGCTTCAGCCCCATCCAAGTGCGGTCATTCGTCAGGACCTTGATGTTTACCGTGGTGGTCACGTCAATATGGCTGTTCTCTGGCTCTCGCATGGTAGTCACCCGTGCCAATCCACCAAGCTAGACGTCGATTCTGTACGAAGACGAGAACAGCATTGGAACTGCACTTGAAAAGCATTTTCATTACGACCAGCATTGATCGACCGATATGTCATCATTTTCCTTTGTTTACAGGAGAGATATCCGAAAGAGAGCATCAACAGATAGCAAAGCGAGGTGTGAGATGGAGTTTGAAGACATAGAGCCGGGTACGGAATATCCCTCGTGTTTGGTGTTGTGGGAAAGGCACAGTGAGACAGAACATCATTGGATCCTTTGGGTTGGGGAATGGGCTCGCAGAGATTCAAGAGCTGATACCGTCTGCGAATTGGCGTTTGGGTTTTCTTATCGTTATTAATTGCTCTCTTTGTCTTTATTATTTGTGGGTGCGCACTTGTCGCAAGCGGTAGCACTTTCGGAGAGAACAGATACGGTACGCTGTGCAAGCTTTTCAACTGTCTGGTCTCTTTTGCCAATTTGCTGTGTTATACGAGGGTTTTGTCTCGCTGTTGCGCAATTGGTACGCGAAAATCACGGTAACTTTGCATCAGTCACTTGGATAGATAGATGGGCCCTGACATAGCTGGTCTTTTGCATAATGGGAGCTCAATACCGAGAGCATGTCTGCAATGTCATATGCTAGTTCGATGTGTGATGTGCGTAAATTCGTGTTGCACGTTTTATGTGCAAGTAATGGTTATTGTACACGAGGCCATGATAATCCTGCTATGCCTCTCGCCTTTCCATCCATCCGTCTTTCTCTCTTCTAACCCTCCAACTTTCCTGTTCCCCCCTTCTCCCACAGCTCCCGTTCTCGACAAATGACCCCTACTTCTTCTCCTCAAACTGCCCCCACCGATTCCTCTTGAGCCTCTCCTCCCTGTCGCGATCCTTGCTCCCGTGCAGATACACCCACGAGCCCGCCACGCAGTTGGCCGCCCCGAGGCCCACGGCCGCCCCGCGCACGATGCCCCTGATGGAAAACTTTGCCCTGAAGGGCGTCCTCCGCCTGAGGGCGAGGAGGGCGTAGAGGCCGGACCAGGCGGCGGTGAGGCCGGCGCTGGCGGTCGGGTAGCCGGAGAGGTTGAGGTAGCTCGAGAAGAGGAGGGTGGGGGTGAAGAGGGTTAGGGGGAGGACGCGGAGGGGGCGGGCGTGGAGGGCTGTGATGAGGGTTGCGAGGAGGGAGGGGGGGAGGGATGATGCTGGATTGGGAACAAGCGGGTTAGCGATGTTTTCTTGTGGATTAGTTGTATGAGGGAATGGGGTGTTGGTTTGGTGTATGGATGATGTTGGTGGTGGTGATTTATGTGAGTTTTTGTGTATGCGTGTTGTGTGTGTGAGAGGGAGAGAGGAGGAGGAGGGTTTGGGATGGGGGAGACTTACAGCCCCATTCGGTCAGGTGTTCGGAGATGGATTTCTGGGCTGCTGTTTTGGCGGATGCCATGATGGGCGACGAGCGTGATTTGTTCAGCGTTGGGCGTTTATGGGGTTGTGCTTGGTGATATTTTTCATGTGAGTTGCTGTATCAGAGATGAGGCTCTGACGTGATGAATCTTGAATGATGACTAAGCGCCTGGCTTGGTGGACAGAGGCTCGCTTTCTTAACTACATCTCCCTGTTCTTTGAGAGAACGGAATCGAGCAGAAACTGCACAAGTATTCGTCCTGTTAATCCACTTAGTTTACATGAGATTAATCACTGCAATTGATTTCCTCTCTCTTGCGCAATGTGATGTCGTTGTCGAGCGAGATGGCCGTCGACTGAGTTGCCATGGCGGGGCGCGGCGGAATGATTCGCCGACGACACCCAAAATTTCGAGCTTGCCATAAACGCATCGCACGACTTATATCCACCATCGAAATCCATCTCGACGAACGACGCTCCAAGGCGACTCGCCTCGCCTCCAATTCCGCCCCAAACGTCCACCGCGCCATATAAGCACCCACCTTCATCGCTACCGAACCAATCCATCCACCACCCCGAATCCCCGTCCTTCTTCAGCAACCACCGCCATGGGCGGCAGACAGATCCGCCCCGCGGGGGTCTACAAGGCCGTTGCCCAAGAGCTCAAGCACGCCCCGATGCCAGGCTACGCCGTGCCGCCGCCGCCGTGGTTCGCGGTGATGAACTCTGTGCCGCCCTCGGAGACGCTCGTCCGCACCGTCACGCCGCGCCACCGCATGCCCAGCCCCAAAAAGGCGGCCAAGGGCAGCACCGGCAAGCCCAAGAAGCTGTTCCGCCCGCAGAGCATCGCGTACCCGGAGGACGCGCTGCGGACGAGCTTCTACAAGGACCACCCGTGGGAGCTGGCGCGGCCGAGGGTCGTGCTGGAGCTGGACGGCAAGGATTATCAGAGGTGTGATTGGGGCAAGGGGCTGCGGCAGCCGGGGATTCCTTTGACGGGCGAGAGGTACGGAAGAGATTCCCGTTTTATTCATGGTAGGATGAGTCCTGGGTTTTTGACTGATTATGTTTTTCGTACTTTATAGTGTTGTGCAACGCCAGCTGTGGTTGATGGAAAACGAATTGGTAGACGGCGTCAAGATGAGCAAGCGCAAGGCATACGACATCGTCCGCCGCGAGTTCTACAGGCTGCGCCAGGAGGAAGAGGTCGAGAAGAGGATAGCGGTCGAGGAGGCGCGCTACGTCGGCGCCTACTTTGGCAAGACGAGGCTCGAGGTGGGCATGCAGCTCGAGGACCAAGAGTACGAGAACTGGAAGATCTGGGCCGGCAAGGAGACGGCGAACCGGGAGGCGAGGGCGAGCTCGGAGATTGAGACGTTTGGGTTGGAGGAGGAGGACGATGCTGCGCTGGAGACGGCGGAGGCGCAGCCTGTGCCCGTGGCGGCGTAGAAAGTTGGTAACGTGGATTGGGGTAGGTTTTTGTATTATATGATGTGTACGAAGGTTTATATCAGGGACATGGTTTATCAAAAGAGGTAAAAACAAGGTCTGTTAGCATTTGGCAGGGCTGGGTTCTATGTCATCCAAGCGGCGAGAATTAAAGACAATCTCTCCCGCATTCTGCACGCCGTACCGCGTCGCCACCTCTTGATGCTGCGTGACAAAGACGTCCGCGATGCCCGTGTAGAGCAGCAGCTTCCCCGTCAAGCTCAGCGTGGAAATGCGCGCCCAGGACTCGATGTAGATGACCTTGCAGCAGCTCTCGGGCACGACGTACAGCATCTTCAGCAGATGCACCGCCAGCGCGACGAAGAAGCCCGTGGCGGGCCCGTTGGAGAAGACGCGGGCGGGATAGCGCAGCGCCCTGCCGACCTCGTTGTCGGGCGGCGCGAGCAGCGCGGGGAAGATGTCGAGGATGCTCCGCAGGGCGGTCAGGGGCGTCGACCAGAGGGGCTGGTGGACGCGGCGGGCGCGGGTGACGGTGCGCTGGTCGTGGGTTCCCGGGAGCGTGCCGCGGGACGCGCAGAGGGCGCGGAGGCGGGCTTCGTAGTCGGACAGGTGGTGGGCGGACATGGAGTCGCCGCTGGAGATGAGGTAGCGGCGGTGGGAGCGGGCGAAGTCGCAGGAGCCGTCGTCCATCATCATGAGCATTTCCTTGGTGTGGCCGCCGGAGCCGAGGACGAAGAGGGTGTAGTCCATTGGCGGTGGTGTAGATGAGTCATTGCGTTGTGATTGTTGTTGTTGTTGTGGATTGGTGTGAGGTTGGGGAGCGGCGCGTCTGTGGCGGTTGCGATGGGAGAGGAGTTGGATGTGTCGTGTCTGAGGGAGGGCTGTTGGTTAATAGGGATGCTTGGCTTGTAGAGGTGAGTGAGGGGGGACTTGCTGAGATGAAAATGAGGACAGCGATGGCGAAGGCGATGATTGTCAGGAGGATGTGTCTGCTGAGAATAGGCGAGGAGATTGCGGAGAGGATGGATGAGAGGAGAGCTGCGGACAGAGCGATGATGAGGATGGGCTTTGAGAGAGCCATGGTGATGGTTGAGCCTTGGAGTTGTTGAGATGAGGTGCTGCGCTTTTGTGAGTATATGAGCCGAGATCTATGGGTGATTGGGCGACTGACCGTGTACGAGTCGCTATCGAAGCATTCTTCTGTCCATTTCTCTCGTGTAGACTAAATATGCGGCGTTTGAGGAGTGAAAGGCCGAGTTTGAGCTTCGTTGATGCTGGCTCGAGTACAGATTGCATTGCAGGAAGTACAGTGTCCAGATGCTTCACTCGGGCAGTGAGTAGACCCACTCTCGTCACTCTTTCCGCTCCTCCCTTGTACTTCGTACCTTCCGGGACAAACACATCGACTGCATCACTCCAACAATCGCAATTAATCTCCGTTGTCGTCAGTGGTGATAATGCACACTATGCTTCAGATTCAATAACTAATTGGCAGTAACAACTTCGAAAACTCTGTATTCCATACATCGCCAATCGTCCGTCTGCGAGGCTCTGGCGACAGAATGCGGCCAAAAGCAAAGTGCGTCTCGCGCAACATGGCATCATATCAAGCGCTGCTATCCTTCTCCAAGCGCGCACTCTGTCCTCTGTCCTGCCGATAATCACATAGTCGGAGGCTGGATGGGCCTCTGTCTGTAGAAGAGGCGTCGACAGGCAGGCTCCAGTCGCTGTCTGCGCGCGGCTTCGATGGCTCGTCGGGTCGCTTCCTGGCCGGCTTGTTCAAACACGAGGTCCATGCCTTCGCCAGTCGCCGCAGAGCACTCGAGATAGCGGTGGCAGCCAAGCTGATTAGCATAGGAGGCGGCCTGCCAGACTCTTCACGTCAGCTATCTTCTATCTTACAGACGGGCAAAGACGACGACGTACCTCGTATGGCAGCACACAGCAATTGGGAAGCGGGACCGCGTTCGGAGGGTCAAAAAGGCCGCGGACGCGATGGGTGTCGTCGGTGCACTGCTCGCGGACGTCCTTCTTCATGCCGAGCAGGTGGACGAGCACCTCGTTCTCCTGCTGATTGAGAAAGCCACGGTTCACAGCACCAGCCCACTGATGGCGATGCCCGTTAGCTGACGTGTCTCTTGAAGCACCAAGAAGAAACGTGGGGATATGTGACTTACCCATGCCACAACCGTCCGCAGAGACGCCTTTTCCTTAATGTCAAAGCACAGGAAGATGCAGTCCCACTGCACGTACGAGAGACTCTCGATGGTGGTCATGTCTGGCGCGCCGGAAGTGTCCTACATTTCGACGCGGACGGGCTGAGAGTCGTACATGCGGATGTTGGTGTACGTCTCATAGCAGGTACGGGTGATGGCACTCGACTGCATGCTATTAGCATCTCTTCACGAGGCTCAGATGAGGCTCTGTAGTTCATCTTACATCGGGAAAGCATCCAAAACGAGCACGGCTATATCATTGTTAGCACGACACGTTCAAATCAGCTCACGACTTCAAGGAGTTGAATCTCACAAAAGAAGCGAAGTCTGGCCAGAGCCCTGGGGCCCGACAAACAAAAAGTGAAGAGTCAGAGGCGCTTCGAGAGCGACGGTGGGAGCGGGCGACACCGACGGGCTGCGGCGCTTGCGCTTGCGATTGCGACCAAAGAGAGCAAAGAAGCCGCGGATAGGGTTCCTGGCCTGCGCTGCCTCGGGCTCGTCGTCGTCGCGCACTCCCAGCGCCGTCTCGGGACGTTCCATGAGGGACTCCCCCAGGGCGTTGGGGCCGTCGCGGCGGCGAAAGAGGGGGATGGCTGAGCGCATCAGGGCGACGCGGTTCGAGGGGCGACGGACAGGCCTCACGGGTTCGCGAAAGGTCTGCCCCCTCAGGAGAAGTAGCATGGCACGTCAGCTCAGCACAGGAGAGGGGGGTGATGATACTGACGATGCGAGTGCTGGGCCGCTCTTCGAAGCCATCGTTGAGGAAAGGATCCTCGCGCTCCAAGCGGCTAGGCACCGACTGTCTCCAAGAGTCGATGGACTCGGCGAGTTCTTGCGGCATCTGCTGCGGAAGGTGTACGATACCGTCGTCTGGAAAGACGCCTGGTGCTGGGTGCGCGCAGTAACGCGGGGGCATCAAAGTGCTGAGCCTGTACTGGTCGGCCTGCAGATGAGGGTGAAGGTGGGAAAGGGGGAGAATACCCGAAAGTGCCAGTTGATCCGCAAAAGAGGGAAAAGGCGGCGCCATGGTTGGGGTCGAGCTGGAGTGATTGGTCAGGAGAGAAGAAGAAGGAGAAGAAAGTAAACAAGAGAGGAAGCGTGTTTCGACGCGTTTGGATATACGGACGCGAGCAAGTGGCGGAGGGGGTGAGCGCGAGGTGAATTGGATGATTGGATAGGGATGGGACTGGCGGCGCGTGGGTGGCAGCTGGCAGCACTTGAGGCTGATCACGAAGCTGGCAGATGGATGGTGTTGTTTACGGAGACTATCTTGACAGTTCTCTTTTCGCGGGTTTCAGAAGTTGTGAGGGTATTGGAGAGGATGGTTCTTGGGTGAGTCGTTGCAGCGGCTTCCTCCTCGCCGTATGAAAGCCATCGCAGCGTCTTCTTGGACTCGTCTGTTTCTTGTGACAACGATGCGGCACCTATGACCCATCCGGACGACTCGAAAGTGTCATTTGGCATTTGTCGCCGTCATGGGCTCCAGATCTCTCCCAGACTGCCGTCTGATCCATTGTCATCCAGTTGTTGTTGGATGAATCGCGGGACGCTGCTTACTAGATTGTGGGCTCATCGTTCAAAGTTTTACATGAACCACTGTTTGCTTTGGACGTCTCCGTCGACACTGCAATTCGATCTAATAGGTTTCAACTCGAGAGCGTGTTTGCAGCCTGCATGAGCGTATGTCCAAAAGGCTCCATCTCCATCTGCTTCGGCCGCTGACTCTTCCCCTCTGAGGAGGTCTACATCGAGGAGGGCTTCTTCGTAAGCTCAAGCACGTGGCACAGCTCGTGTGATAGTACACACGATCTCTATACTCGTGATGCATGGAATCTCCACATAATCATCAGCATGAGTTGAATTCAGTCTTGCACATCTGAGGATCGAGAGGAGCTGAAACATCGACTTGTCAAATCAGCCGCAGCCACATGCATTTATTTTCAGCACCACTCACCTGCCTGGGAGTGTGGCCAGCAGGCCAATCAACTGACATTCGGATATTGCCCAATTGGATAGAATTGTTTGTTGATTGGCCGAAGACGAGGCTGTCCATGGGAGCCTGGAACGATGGCTTTTCAAGGTGATTGGTGAACGATGTCACCGAAAGCACGAGGCCTGCAGGGAGGGGGAAGCCCGTTGGGCATCCAAGCATCATTCCATGAGGCTCTCCTTCTCCCACGATCTATTTTCTCGCGTAGCCCGTGAGAGGATCCCCGAGAACAATTCAATTCGACTTCGATTCCGAATACAAGCCCGGCGAAAGCTGCGAATTCTGGTGTCAAGGCGCCATGGCTTCTCTCGAGACAAAAGTGTACCGTCTTAGAGGCATCCCGGCGCATCTGGATCGCCTCGGCCTCGCTAGGCTGATCCAACCTTTCCTGCCTGCTGGAAAGCTGGAAGACATTTCCGTGGCATCGCTCGCGCTTAGCTGCGACTTCTGGTCCAGACATCCCACAAAAACGGCAACGCTCACTCTACGAAACCTTCCGGAAGTTGTGCGTGAGGCTCCTGCGGCAGGCGAATGGGAGCTCCCCGTTCTTGCTTTGCCCAAGCCGTTGATCCTTGATGATACATTCTTTGGACTCACTCCTCTTAATGAAGTTCCTGAGTCACAGCATCAGCACGAGTAAGTCATTCGAGAGCCCATCAGCAGTATCTATGCACAACGTCTGATGCTCTCCAAGCTGTATCGTGATATCCGGGCTTGCAAGCCATCCGATGGGATCATGGCAGCCTCGCGGCAACAACAAATCCTTCATGTGGATACGAGATGCACTACCTGAACTCTTTCCCGGTGTCAGATTTATTCTCTATGGATATGACACCAAGCTGGTCGGAAGCAAATCCTTCCAGACGGTACCAGACCTCGCCAATAACCTGATCAATGAGCTTAATGCAGGGGGCTGGTCATCGCCAAGCTCCAAACAGCTGTCGTTTTTGGCCCACAGCCTTGGAGGTGTAGTGTTGAAGCAATGCCTATTCATGCTTGCTGATAGTAACACTTCTGGCGAAGAGATACTTCTCAAAATAAAGGGTGCAATATTCTTCGGCGTTCCAAGCGAGGGCATGAACATTGAGGACATTCACAGCATGCTTGGAGACCAGCCAAATAAGAGCGCACTTGTTGCCGAGATATCAGACAGGTCAGACTATCTGTCCAGTTTAGAAAAACGCATCTACGGTATCTCGCGTATCCAAGGCATGAAGCTCTTTTGGGCCTATGAAACCCAGACGACGCCTACCGTAGAGGTAATGAACATCATGAGACCATTCCCAAATAACACATATCAAGAAGATATATGGCTAACAGCAGAATATTAACTGATAGATGGTCAGCGGCACGTATCGCAGATCAGGGCCAGAAGCCATACTGGTATCGCGAACATCTGCCACAGGTAATCGTTGCACTTCAGATCCTGCATCAACCATACAAATCGATGCGAATCACTCCAGCATGGTGAAGTTCTCATCCGGGAGCCATATGATTGGCCCCATTGCCAACAAGCTGCGGGATATACTTGGCAATCATCAAGAGGGTTTCGATCGATATCCGGGGCGTTTGGCTACCCGCAACGTTCCGGTTCCGGCGGCTACAACAACCAACACCCAGGCTTTCAAAGAAAATAGTCTCAAGAGACCTGGGGATTCTACTCAGAACATTGATCTCTGGGATATTGAAAGTTCGTACCGACTTGCCGATGCTCGTTGACATTGTGACTAATACGGTGTCAGCAATCATACAATCCATACGTGCTCCTGAGAGAGATGAAAGGCTTCAGCAAGTTGAAGATAGCGCTGGCTGCTCGTTCGAATGGGTATTTGAAGACCCTTCGATTGGCTTAAGCCGCTGGTTGCAAAAGGGTGACGGCCTCTACTGGGTTTCCGGTCGCCCTGCCTCTGGGAAGTCAACCTTTATGAAGTTTCTTCACAAGGATGGACGCACATCGCAGCTTCTGCGTGGATGGTACAGCCGAGCCGAGCAAGTCAACGCCAACTTTTTCTTCCACTACCGTGGTAACCTCATCCAAAAGTCGTTCGAGGGCTTGCTTAGAAGCATTCTCAGCCAAGTCTTAGAGCAGGCTCCTGGGACTTATCCAATCTTTCAGTCGTTATGCGAGCATCACTGCCAACAAGCTATCGATGCGGAATCCCTTGGAAGCTTATCCTCAGACATTAACGAGCTTTTGTTGACCCACGGCATGGAGTTTGGCGCCGACTTCAAGCTGCTGCCATTTCTGCAGTGCGAAGCTCTCACAAAGTTGTTCCACAACATGGTTGTTGAGCCTTTGCGTGAAAGTTATGGCGCAGATACCGATTGGAAAGAAATTGAGCAGCTGGTAGTGCCTCGTAGAGAACAGCTTCAGTTGTTTCTGAGGCAGGGCCAGCTGTCAGAAATAGACCGCTTCGTGAATTGGCGGCGATGGACCAAGAAGATGAAAGACCGCTTTCTGTCCTTATTGGCTGATTGGCTCGTAGCCATTGACCTAAAAGAGCATTTATTGAGATTGGATGTGTTGTCCGCACCTGATTCTGCTCATTCATCGACACGAACGCAAGCCAAGGCAAGTTTCGCCGGACACATTGAGAATATCATGAGTCGACATCGCAGGCGACTGGATATACGACAGTCCGCTCAGAACAAGATTTGGACACGGCATAACCTGGAGCAAGCGTTCTTTCAGATTATTAACCAGCAATCAATCGATCTGGACATGTGCGTTTTTATTGACGCCCTGGACGAATATGATGGACCCTCAGAGTTCATTGCAGACTTTCTCAAGGAGATCACGCAACGGAGAAGCAGTCGTACACGGCTCAAGATTCTTTTCTCCAGTCGGCCATGGGACAAGTTTACCGACGCTTTCAGCGACTGCCCTGGTTTCCGTATTCACGAGCATACCGAAAATGATGTTCGCGAGCTGTGTTTGCATGTTATACGGACTCAATGCCCTGGGTCTCAGGAGCTCTTGCAGCTAGTGGAGGAGATTGTGAAGCAAGCCAATGGCGTTTTCCTGTGGGTGAAGCTGGTGCTACAAGACTTGTCTAGGATTGCAGCAACCTTTTCACCCCGAGACGACACCAGATCTTTATCTAACAAGCTACAAGAGGAGTTGAAAAACCTCCCCGGGGACTTGGCCGACTACTATAGTGCCATTATCGAACGGATACCTCAATCTTTTCGCCGCGAGGCTTTTTGTCTGCTCGAGGTTGTTACAAAAGGAGACGAAGTCTATCTTCAAGACATTCCTACGATTCTCAGTTGTCTCAATTTTTCCCGATTTGCCGAGCGAGATCAAATTCTCGGGAGAATTCTCCAATCTAACGTGGAAGAGCTCGCTGTCTTACTGAGGACTTACACAGGCGGTCTCATCGAAGCTTATGGGGAACGGCATGCCTTGAAGCTTCGATTATTGCACCAGACCACGGTAGACTTTGTCCAATTGCCAGGATTTAAAAGCCTCATTCTGGATACAGGAGCACATGCTATGAATGATAATGGCTATACTTTTCTTGCGAAGCTAGAGCTGCTTCGATCCAAGCGGCCCAGGGATGGTGCTCTGAGTTTACGTCGAAACTTTTTCATTCACGCCAGGCGGTCCGAGAAGACTACGGGGAAGAGTTTGTACTCCTTTTTCGCGGACACTCGAGTTCAGTTCCAACTAGACCTGTCTACAGACTTCATACCTGGAGCAATGTGTCGAGCTATGAGGTTGGAGACGGTCAAAGAGTCTTTTCCCGCCATCGGAGTGGCCCTTTGTGCCTATCTTCGCCTATTCATCGGAGAAGCCTTGCAAGCAGATCCACTGATATTCTTTGATACACCGGCTTGTTATGTCATGCCTATTTATTTAACATACACTTGGGAAGTACTTGGGCTGGACGAAGCTCTGCAAATGACGGGGACTTTGGCCACTCACGGCTTCCCATTTGAAAATCACACTGACGACTGTCTACTACCAGCACTCTGCACGTTGGGAAAAGTTCCAAGTCGGCTGAAACGATCTGAGCCGTTCGTACTGGATGTCACACGACGATATAAAAATCCGAATGTCGACTTACACCTGCCTCCACTTTGGTTTGAACCTCCGATTATCGACATAGATATTCCATCTGAAACAAGGGTTAATATTATCTATGTCTCTTCTTATCATATCATCAAAGACCTGCTCGAGAGAAAGGCCGATCCAAACGTCCAGGCATTCCAGGGCTACACGCCGCTGGACTGCTGGGTATTAGATGCTCTTAAGCCCCCCTCGCAAAGGCATGATGCTCATAGGGTTATGACGCTTCTCGTTCAAAACGGAGGGCTCCTCAATATGTGTACCACAAAGCAATGGCGGGTAAAGATGGGTGAGTTTCACGAGCAGGGGCTGTCCGTGTCGCTATTCGAAGCGTTAGGCTATCCCAAATGGGTCAAAAAGGGCAAGTTTGGTCTGAGGCAGTTCATGCGCAATAAGGTTGTCGGTTTATTCGAAAGTCAGACCAATTAGAGCAGCGGATCATTTTCATACGGCCATTTTGCTTTCTCGAATCGGAGTTGTTGCTCAAAAGCATTTTCTTCCACCTCATTCGTAATGTCAACATCCTGTGATCTTTTTTAGTTTTTTCCAAAAGAAGCCTGGGGGCCCTATTGCCGGAAATAAAATGAGAGATGCCTCTCAAGTTATTCACCTAGTCTTATAGAGACATTGGTATTCGTTCGGAGCGTCGTTGCAACGTGTGCTAGTAGTTATAGAATCTCTAGTAAGAATTGAAGCTACCTATACCGTTCTTATATACTCTATGCGCCAGAAGGCGAAGTATAAAAGAGAACTAGATCATTAAAAATAGTAGCAGAAAGGAAAAACCTTGCTTTTGATGGCTAAACTACCAGCTAAAGACATATATCGGTGGGTTCACTATGACATTGGATAGCTAAGTCGGGATGCCGGCTGGCCACTCTCTTCAACATGGAAAAACGATGCTGCGCTGGGAATAATGAAGAATTATACTGGTTCCTGTAGACTCGACTATCAAGATATCCAAAAGGCAGGCGCACAAGAGCTCTGCAAGAAATCTGTGCGAGGTGCCTTTCGACTCATCGTCCTTGGCCATGAGGATCACCATAAGCGCTATCACGCGTGCGTGGGCAAGTGCGTCGACATAAACGTCTTCGATGCAAATGTCTGGTCCACCTGAGGAAGATATAAAGCCTTCAACGAGAAGATGCAGAAGGTTGAAAGACGCACAGAGATTACGGGAAACTACCATGATATGGATCCCATTCAGTGCCAGTCTCATCGCCAGTCCATCAACAGGAATCAAAACCAGAGTTAGCTAACAATGCCATCTTGGACGCCAGTCTTTTGGCTTCTTCCTTTGTTTGTTCCTGCTTTCAGGCATATATTCGTTTCCGCAAGGTGAGTCGAAATGTCTCTTTCTATTTGGCTTTCAGTGATGAGGAACATGGGAAGCTGGATTTACCCAAAATGGCCCTGCGGTTGTTCTCAGAGACGCACAAGCAGAGTTTGTTTGTTTGTGCGTAAGCTTGGATCTGTCGTCGTCTCTGTATTGAAGCACATCTAGTGTTGTCCCTGAGGCTGTGCCAGCAATTCGTCGCCAACGCTGGGAATTCCCAAACAGAACAACTCTGCCGCCAGAACCAGTCAATTGGATCATCTAAACTTATGAAGAGTACCTGTAAAAGCCAAATGTGAGAATGAAAAAGAAAATTAGCAAATAAATCTTATAAATCGCGTGGAATGTAACACATTTCACAGGCCACCAATCCAGAGACCAAAATTGAGGCGCAGTCAGGTTCCAGCTCCAGGGCTTTTTCCCAGGCGCACAAACAAAGCAAATGGCCCGTTTGTCAAAGCGCCGACTCATGTGGATTGCTTAAAACACTTGGTAGGGGGGGCCTCCTTTTTATACTTTGCATGTGATAAGATTTCGTTTGGTTATAAAGCTAACTTATTATCATGCTGGTTTGACGTTATGCACCACCTACTCAGATTCTTCTCAATTTCGCCCCTCGGTCTGGTTGTGCAATATGGGTGGCTTCGTACCATTCATCAAGGCCTTGCCGCCTTGTATAGGCATTCATGATCCGGTAAAGGAAGAGGATAACTGCGAGGTTTGCCACACGAGCAGATTTCAAGAAGTTGACTTTGATGGGGAGGATATCACCAAAGAGGAGGGCGTGGTCAGGGTGAGCTTCCAATACAGCTATCATCATTCAGCACAGCCACTGACCATTCTCAAGGTGAATGCAAAAGTCAAGATAGTCAAGAGTATACGTCCAGCGGGGAAGCACCATTGGCTCATTCTGCCCAGGGAGCATATTCGGGATCTTGAACAACTTCAGGCCAAGGATCTCAATCTCCGTGAGCATGAGCCCCTAATACACCGGTCTGGAGCTCTTATCGTTAACAGAGAGTTTCTGTTCAGTGCTCGAAATGCGTTCAGTGAGGGACGAGCTCCTGAGAAGACACTGCAGCGCCACTGATCGAATACACTGCGGATACCACCGAGCTCGGGAACGCGTGCTTGGCCCCATCCATACGATAGACAGGATCTCCGTTCCGCATTTACACTTGCATGTCATTGCTCGGCCACACGAGGACCCCATACCGGATAAATACTCTCATTCGTTTGTATGGAGGTCAGAGGAAGAGGTATTCAAGAAGGTGGAAAGGATGGCAAAGGCCAGTATTGAGCGAGTAGATGCCAAGCTGGGTGAACAAGCACACTTCAAGGCAACGCTGGAGAAGGATCGGAAGAGTTCAACGCCAGTCAAGGTTATCAACGCTAGAAATGAAATAACATCATGAACATGAAAGCTTCCCTCTCGGCCAATGTATACGTAAACGTTCTCGTTGGGCCACCATATGCGAACATCTTAATGCGAGAAGCCCGTCCTCTCCCTCAAAAAGCATGCCTCTTCACAGACTCATTCGCAAACGCCCCCTCAAATTCTCTCCGCGAATCCGTCCTCCGATCCAGCGCATACCGAACATTCACCAAGACGAGAATCACAATAAACAGCGCCCCCACAAACAGGGATATAACGGGAGCCAGGATAGAAAACATGCTGAAGATGTACGAGGCGCGGTTAAACACCCTGTTATCGACCAGCTCGCTCGTGGCCAAGCCCACCTGCATGGCGGACAGCACAACGGTGATGTAGATGAACGCCGTCAGGACCCATCGGAAGTTCCTCTCCAAGTACGTCGAGTACTGCCGGTAGCCGTATTCGTAGCCTCGGATGAGGGTGCCGAAGGAAAAAGTCTTTGAGCAGAATCGGCATATCAGGTTCAACCTCGTGAGACGCAGTTCGCCGTAGATGTACCTCGGATTGACACCGCATAGGTCCGGACTGATGTTAGAGACAACAGCCGCGGAAAAGGGTGCCCATTGCTCCCATCGGACGTCCCTTGATACCAGTCCCTGCTCATGCGCAATGCGTAAGTCGCTTTTGCTGCATATCAGCCAGGTGTAGGAATAGAGGAATCCCTTGGCGCTTTCATAGAGTTCGCGGTTCGTGCAGAAGATGTTATTCCAGAAAGAGTGGCTCAGGAGGTAATCTGGCAGCGGCTTCAGGTAGAGGATGTTGTCCCGCCAGACGAGGTGCAGGTCTGCCCTCTCTGTGATGTGAATCTGGCGGCCAACCCTGACTTGGTTGTGCAGAGCTCGAGACACTTGGGGGAGACCGGCTAGCCAGAGATGTTTGTGGATTTCGTTGAGGCGAGAGACGTCGAGGTCGTACTTGATGTAATCCTGAACGGAGTTTGGGTCAGATTTGTCGATGACAACGATCTTTTTGTCACGCTGGTAGATGCCAGGAATCATCGGTTCTTCTTTCAAGAGGCTTTCTTTTGTGTCAAATGGAGGACATGCCGCTGGTTGAAGCGACGCGGCTTAGCAGATATATAACTGTCAGTACGATATGTACATGTATTGGACCTGCAAGGAAACGTGCGGCGACGGATACATACCGTAAGGCGTCTCGGGCACCAAGGTTGTGTTATGGCTCAAACTGCCCTTCGCTGTGTACGTGGAATCGACCCGTCCTGCTGTTGTCCTCGTTAATCTCGGCTGCCATCAATACTATGTGCGTATCTTCACCACCATCTCCCAGCTAGCACAGAATAGCCGTCATGTCAGGCCAAACGAAAGGACGGAAACAGAAAGCAGACCTACACTCAAGAGCGCTGACCAAATTGTCGCCATCCATAATCACCGTCAACAAGCGGTAGGATACAGGCAGCTCACGCAAAGGCCTCCCAAAAGAGGAGACAAACAAACAAACGCAAAGTGGAATTTAATCGCCGAACTGGAGATTCTTTTTTGCAACGGGGTTTAGGCAATCATGGTGGAGTAAGAGTCTACCTGCATTTTTACTCTTGGGAGTTCAAAAGACACAGGAGGCTCGAGACAAAAGTGATGAGAGGCGGCTGAGGCTGGGTTTATTAGGCAGATACGGCGGCGCTTCCAGCAATGCTTTCGTACAATCACGTTCAACTGCAAGGGTTATTATCGACCCGCTGCTACCTATGCAGAGTCCTATTGGAGATTCGACGAGAGGTGACAGAAAAGGCAGATCAAACCCAGCCACACCCATTGAGGCGACCCGACGTGGCGAGCAAGGGGGGTTTGACAGGGGTTGTGATCCGTACAGCCACTGCAGAACACCCACCCCTTCGGCGGCAGCTGATGTCGATGCCTCAAAGCCTTGTGAGACCTAGATGGACAACTCATGAGGATTATTCATGGAAGAAAAGAGCATCTGGTCTTGAAGACAAAGTATATTCCCTGTTGTTCATGTACTCTGCACTTATACGTTTCCTCACCTTTTCCAACTATTTGTATACCAAATTATACTCAACACTGTCAAGCAGACATCATATCCTTCAACAAATCCATCAGTAGTTCCGACATCATGCCAAACTGTCCATTATCTACAATAAGCACACATGAACGAATTACAGAGAAAAAGAACAAATTCTTTTCATCCCCCAAGCTCCAAAACTCCACCAGCCATGATCAATGCCAAAGCAATAAGTAGTCAAAAAGAAAAGAAGAGGTATCTACAAATAACTCTAAGATGAAACCGACGCAACGACCCTTGCTGCTTCTCTGTCCTGTTTCCTCCAGCAAAAGGAGCTGAACTTTTGTGAACAAATGGCCATGCGCCCCTTCTTTACAGATACAAGCTCTGGGCGGCCACAATGTCCCTCCTAATCTTCTGCAAACTCTCTTCAAACTTCTTCATGAGGTCGTCGTTGCCCATAACCTTGGCGGCCTGGGCCATCTGTCGGATGAGCTCTTCGAGACGGCGGAAGATGCGGATAAATGAGCCTTCGTACACATTCGCCATTTTACTACACAGAAACATCTTAGTAAAAGGAAAGCTTTGAGTATGCCGTGCAGAGGAGGTGTTCAACTTACCAAATCTCAGCAAACGTTCGTCCCTGCGCCCACGCATACACCGTCTCCATAAGCTGCCACTTCAAGCTCTGCACGTACTGGTCCTCGTTGACGTCCAGCTTGGACTCCTGGCTAACCTTGGCAATCATGCGAGCCTTGGCCTGGATCTCGCGGAACGGCTTCTGCAGCTCCTCCTTCAGGGCCTGAGACTCCAGCTTCTCGTCAAAGACGAAGCAGCTGAGAACAGCCGCAATCAGCTCCGGCGTCATCTCGTTGAAGAATCGGTCAAAGAGGAGCTCGGACAGGAGAAGCTCGTGGCCCTCGGTGGAGGAGATCTCGCAGGCAACGCGGGCCTTGAGCTGGACGACTTCTGCATCGTTGATGAATCCCAGACGGCGCAGCACACGCTTTCGGGACTTGAGCTCGTCCATCTGCGCAATGCTGTGGGCCTTGGCAATCTCCTTCTTCTTCTCCTTGATCTTGTCCAGGATCTGCACTTTGGCGTGGTACTGGTCCCACAATGACGGAAGCAGGGGGGAGAGATGCAGAGGGTTCGTCACCAGTCGGGACTCGAGCACTTCAATCTTGCGGAGAAGTTGCTTAAACGACTCATCCGAAATGTCCATGTTCTCGAGGGGGTCCAGAATGGGCACGCCGTCAGGGAACCGGCGCTGCACTTCACTGAGCGCCTTGCCGGCATCTCTACGATCATCATCAGACTTGAGGCCTTCCTTGGGCATGAAGACACGGATCTGGCTGATGGCTTTGATGCAGGTGAGGAGACAGGGGACAACCGCAAACATGCCGTCATCCTCGTCGGCTGCCGGCTTCAGGCCGGGCGGCATATCGCCAGCCAGGTGGCCGGGGATGATGTCGGAGCTCGACTTGGAAATGTACAGCAGGACCTCGATGATGTGAGACTCCTGTGGCGGATATTCGGGCTCGCCCATCTTGGGGGGCCGTCGCGCATACTGGTCGGTAATGACACCCCAGCCAAAGTCGAGCCCGCCACCAAGCTTCTCCGCCGACTCCTTGACGTTGTGGATCTGGACAAGGCGGCCGGGTTGCAAAAAGGGAAGACAGTAGTTCGGGTGCTGGATGACCGCTCGCATGTCTTTGGTGTATGTGTTCAGCTGCTGCCTGATCGTGTAATAGTCCTTGACGGTAGCTTCATCGGGTATCGTGAGAGCATCCTTCTCCTGCTGCAGTGCCATCAGGTCCTTCTCCAGGGCGGGGACACTGGCCGCATTCTGGAACTGGTGGAAGCATCGCTCCAGCATGAACTCGGGTGAGATGGCCTCAATTCGCAGCAGGTTGAGGATCATGTTGTATCCGAGGTAGAAGGCCGAGTTGAGTCTGTCCTGCTGGCCGGTGACAATCTGCTTGGCGACTTCCGGCTCCAGCTTGTCGTCAATCATCATGATGACAACACCTCGAGCATCGAGACCACGACGACCAGCACGTCCTGCCATCTGAACGTATTCGGAAGAGGTGATGGGGCGTCTCTGGACACCGTCCCACTTCGTGACTTGGGTAAAGACCACCGTCTTGGCAGGCATGTTGAGACCAATGGAAAAGGTCTCAGTCGCAAAGAGAACCTTGATCAGGGATTCCTGGAACAGGATCTCGATAGTCTCCTTGAGAATGGGCAGCAGACCCGAGTGATGGACGCCAACGCCCTTTTGCAGCAAGGGCAGGAGGTTCTGGATCTGTGGCAGGTCTCGGTCGGCTTCCGACAAGCTGTCAATAGCACTTTGGAAGACCTTGTTGACCATTGCCTTTTCCGAATCGTCGTTGAAGTTTAGGTTGGAAATCTTGAGGGCCATGTTCTCGCACTCGCGCTTGGAGAAGTTGAAAACAATGACGGGGTTGAAGTTTTTCCTGACCGTCATTCGGATGATCTTGTTGATATCGGAGCCCTCGTCGGCGCCGCCCTTGTTCGTCTTCTTGTTCTTCCCTTTTCCTTTCATCTTGGCGTTAAAGTCCGCCGGATCGGAGCCCTTCTTCTCTTCCACCTCGGCCATAACGAGGTTGAAATTCTCCTCGTTAAAGGTGCCCCTTTCATCCACCACCATTCTCGCGCCCTTTCCTCCGGCAGGGTAGAAGTAGTTTTGTAAGGGGGTAGGTCGGAAGTCTGTGTAGACGACGTGACAAGCCTGGTGGTGGATCTTGGCAATCCATTCGGCAAACTGGAAAGCGTTCGGAATGGTGGCCGAAAGGAAGACGTATCGGACCTTGTCGGGAAGCATAATGATGGTCTCCTCCCACACAACACCTCGAGTCTTGTCTCGCATGTAGTGGATTTCGTCAAACACGACCCAGGCCACCTCGCGCATAATCTCCGAACCGCGGTACAGCATGGACCGCAGAATCTCCGTCGTCATGACCAGGCAACTGGCCGTGGGGTTGATCGTGACATCACCGGTCATCAGGCCAACATCGCCGAAGATGGCTTCGAAATCTCGATACTTTTGGTTACTCAAGGCCTTGATGGGACTAGTGTAGATGACCCTCTGGTTGCGCTTGAGACACTGCGCAACCGCATATTCTGCCACCACCGTCTTTCCGGCACTTGTATGCGCCGACACCAGGACGCTCTCTTCGCGCTCAATCGATGCGACAGACAAGCTCTGGAAGGGATCCAGCTTGAAGGGGTATGTTCGCGCCGGCTCCTCGGGGGACTTGTGCTCTGAAAGGGGAATGTATTCGTAGTTGAGGTCCGGCGGCAGGGCGACCTGGTGCTGGATGTTGTGTGACAGCACGAGCGACGAATCTTGCGAGACAAACGTTGAGGCACCCGCGACCTCTCTTGACTCTGCCGTCTGGAAGTTATCCGTCAAGACTGGGCCGGCCTCGTCCGTCTTCTTGCGCCGCTTCTTGTCCTGCTGATTGGGCGCTTCCGGGTCTTCTTCACCCTCGGAGTCCTCGTCTCGAGAAGTCTCGGCGGCATCAGCCATGCCCGTGTCGGCGTCGTCGTTGTTGGCGCCGTCCATGTCGGCGTCGCCGTTTCCGTTCATGGCCTCGTCGGCCTTTCGCTTTTTGCTCTGGGCTCGGCTGCGGCTCTTCTGGGGTTTTCTCTCGTCTTCGCTGGCGCTGAGGGGCTCCGCCTTGCCCTCAAACACGTCGAACAGTTCATCCATCTTGGCTGCTGCTGCCAGGATTGTGGCTATGAGGAGGCGGGAGAAGCAGGAGGATCGAGAGGATAGAAGAGGTCGAGGTGCTACACACAAAATGTTGGTAGCCCGTTGGTGGCTTGGAATCTAGATGGCGAGAAAAAGCTTGCGCCCAAGCTATAAACCTCAAATTCAAGGCTGAAATTCGATAACTGGCATCAGCACAACCGGATTATGTGCCAAGCAAGTCCAGATCTCGCCCCAAACACAGAAACGCTGGAGGGATGAGAAAATGCAAAGATTGCTCGACCAAACTTTCGCGAAGAAAGAAGTGGGCTTGGGACGGCAGAAAAGAAAATAGTCGGTGCCAAGAGAAGGCGGTGACGCGCATCGAAGATCGAGTCTCTTAGTCAGCTGCACGGCTCCATCGTGAGTGGGAGGACACCTTACCTAAGCAGACGCCTGCTGTCGGCAGAGCTGCACGTGACGAGCAGCGCCAAGCATCTCGTTTTGACCTCAATCGAACCATGCCAATTAATCCCGGGACAAGCTTCAAGCCGACAGACAAACAGAACCACAACTTCAGTCCAGCCTCTCACCAGCCGTCAAAGTCCGCCTCTCCTCCTCACTCCGCGCCCTCGTCCTCATCGCCGTATAGCTAATTGATCTTTCCCGCTGCAGATGCTCTCCCGCGCCGCCACCCGCTCCGCCTCCCAGGTCGCCCGCCGAGGCTTCCACACCACCCGCCCTCGCATGTCCTCCCCCTACCACTACCCCGAGGGCCCCTACTCCAACCTGCCCTTCAACCCGCGCAGCAAGTGGTTCGGCGCCGGCTACTGGTCCTTCATGGCCACTGGCTTCTTCCTTCCCTTTGGCATTGCCGGTGAGTTTGCGATTGCGATGATGGGCATTCTTTGAGCTGCCCCGCCAAGCTGCTCGTTTTGCCGCGGCAAAAGCTGACAGAAGCTGTGTTATAGTCTACCAAACCTACAAGTCTACGTAAACGATTGGTTATCGAACTACAAACGAGATTGGCTTCCGTCATGGGCTGTATGTATGATGGAGGGTCATGAATGGGTAGTGAGTGGGCTGCTGCGACGGGAGTAAATAGCTCGAATAGAACGCGGACCACTTCGCAAGTTCATATACATATCAAAGCTCTGTCCGTGCAGGTCCGTCTCACACGCGCCTATGAGGATCCAAGGTGAAAGCTCTCATCACGATCATCAAATTGCATCATCGTCCTGATCGACGAGGGACGGGCTAGTCTATAACTCTGGCATGACATATGTACATGAACACATTGTATACATTTTCTCTCCAAACGACTCATAACCACGACGACGCATCTTTGCCGCGCCACTGCTCAAGCTCGTCGTTTCGCGTAGATTTGAGGTCCTTATCATGCAGGATGTTCTCAAACAGTGCATGCATGAACTGCTGCCGCTCTGGGCTGATGACCCATCTCTGGGACATGGCCTCGAAAGTCTGAACCAAAGCCTCGTTGGTGGAGCACTTCTTCACCGCGCGGAGTGCCCAAATCACGACCCATTGGTCTATGCGGAAATCGGCACCACGTTCATCGTGGGCTTGATAGAATCCTGCCAGCACTCCTTGGAGGCGCTGCTCAGACCAGTCCGAGCCGGAATACCCCCCGTGCATGTAGAAGCCCTTAAACAGGGCCAGGAAGATGGTAGGATGGATAGGGACCTTCAGATGCTTCATCTCATCGAGATATTGAGCAACCTTTTGGAGGTTGCCGACTCGGGTAGCATAATGATTGACCAGCAACTTGTAAGTGCGCAAGTCTGGAGCCAAGCGTACGTTTGTCTGAAAGCCCTTTTTCAACTCCGGATGTTGCTTGCCAACTCGGGTGAACATCATGAGGACCTTGGTGACGACCTTGTTCATCATGTAGTCCTTTTGTGGCATCTCGGACGCCATGTGGTGGTCGTTTTTCATTCGCTGGTATGTCTCCTCAGCAGCCGCTTCCTCGCCACACCTGAGCAGCCCTGATATGACGCAGTTGAGGACCACCGTGTCAATCATCTCGCCCGATTCTACCATCTCTCGGTATGCCGCTCGAACGCCCCCAGAGTCGAGTTTCAGTCCAAAGTAGTGAATCAGACTGACGTGATGAAAGCGATTGAACTCGATCCCGCGCTTGTCCATCTCCTTGTATATCATGTCGGCCAGGGTGAAGTTTCCCGCCTTGGCAGCAACGTCGAATAGAATGTTGAACGTGACTTCGTTCCCCATCACATGAGCCTCCTTCTCCATCTCTTTCCATATCCTCAGCGCCGACTCCATTTCCTGCGTCGACACTCTGGCGGCATACTTGGTGGCAAAAGCGAGCGCAAAGTTCCACTGCGAGCGGCGCAGAGTGAGCCCTGCATTTTTCACATCCGCCACCAGGGCAAAGTACCGCAGCATCGCGTCCATATCCCTCTTCTGAGGCGTGCCCATGACCTTCAACAGCCTATTGCGCCATTGCCAAGTGAGGCACAGCATGCGAGGCTCCGGAAGCTGACAGTAGAGCTTGTATATTTCGTCCAGCGAGTTCCGATGCGGATGCCGCAGCCTCTGTCCAATGGCGGCCTGGAGCCGCTCCAGAACAGGCTGCGTCCCCTCGTTGACCATGGCCGTCTCGTCCTTTGACGGAAATTGAACGTCCCTCTTGTTCTCCGACACCCGCAGCTTGGGCCCGTCCGGAGCCGCATAGCCACGGCGATACGGGTCTCTGTAGAAATCAAAGTATTCCTCGGCGCTGCCCACGTCGGACTGGTCGACATAGGAGAGCATCGTGTCCTTGTCCTGCGGCACGACGGGCGGCGGTCGTTGTCGTGTGCCCGAGCTATGCGAGACATGCGAGGCGGCGGCCGTCCCGTAGGCTCGTCTTGGGTTCCGCGTCGGGGCGGTGCGGTGCTTGTGCGTCTCGGGGCCCGGCAGAAACGTCGACAGCAGCCATTGCGAGCTCCGGGGGCAGAAGAAGCCCTGGTTCGTTACCGGCGAGGCTGCTGGCTTTGCCGGCCGTGGTCTCCTCTCGGGAGCGTCTCCGGCTGCGTGAGGCCTCGGGAAGACATGGTTGCGCGCCACGCCGGCTGATGATCGGGACACAAGCACCGCACCGCAGAAAGAGCCGTCCACTCGCCCGGGGAGTTTCATGGGCTCCTCCTCATGATGTGGTTGAGGGGTTGATGGTGGGAGTTGGGTTGAGGATTGGCAAGCCGAAAAAAGTATGGGAAATCGAGATAATTGCAGGTGGGGGCGAGGGTGGTGGGATGTGCAGCTGTGGCCAATCAGGCGCGAGGCAATTGGTGCGGAGGACACAGCTCGCACAGTACGATATCAGGGAGGCATTGGCCATAAGGTACCCAGAATGTACATGTATCCGGGTGACACTCGACCACAGCATGCAGTGTTATTATACTCGTGTTTCCATTGTGTCACTGTTCCATGCCCAGCATCGTATGGTACTACGTTCGAAGCATTCAAGAGCGTATGTGCTGCCGAGCTCGGTGAAGCTTGTCTCGAGATGCTCCATGTTGTACGTGGTGGACCAGGCAGAAGAACTTATCGCCGTCGGTGATGGCATCCGGATCAAAAGCAGCACAAAGTGTAAGAGCCAAGGCCAGCTGCAATCTTCTAAATCAAGGATATTTTGATTGGTTGTCTCGATTTCAAAAGGTGGTATGTAGTGGACTGAGGTAGGAGAAGTGTACCTGATTGCTCTCCAGCGAGGCCATTGGAGATCAAGGTGTGATTCTCATTGGTCCGGGCAATCTGAGGCATATCTTCCATGTCCGCCCATTGTGGTTCGCTCCCATCACACATCTTTCTTCACCACTTATTTCATCCACTGATTACTATTGAAATTGCTAGATAGTCAGATTGTATCAGGCAGTCGGAAGTCTTCTCAATGCCTCCTGGAAGACCGCCTGTAATCCAGGGTAGCACGGCAGTGAGAAGCTAGAGCCGGCGCTACGTTAACACGAACCAAAATGACCTCACCGTGTCTGCCAACACCCGTGATGGCCTCTGTCTCTCATTTCATCCATTTCAATATCAGTTCATGCATTTCCGAGCTGCCCAATTCAAGCTTCATTATAGAGGATGCCTCCCCAGCTCCACCAGCAACGTGGAATCCTCACGCATGTGCTCGAAACGTGCAACGCCAGCCACGGCGTCTGCCTCCTGCAAACGTCGAAACACAAAAGCCAAGCCCAGTTCAACGCCGCTTTCGACATACTACTCCCAGCAACCGCACTTTGAACCTGAACAAAATCCATTCTAGCACCGAAACAGAATTCTTAGTTCCAGAATCCGTAGCAGAACAAGAAAGAACAAGAGCCTCCCCCAGCTGTCAGAAAGCCCGTGGGGGGGTGAGCCGTTCCCCGGAGTCCGTTCTGTGGGCAGCCCCCTGATTGGCCGGCCACGCCAGTGCCGGGGGGACCCTCGACTTTCACATGTCAGCTGCTCTTGACGCCTCCCAACCGCCCCGTCACGAGGACCCAAGCCAAGGAACAAGGCGAAAGGGCCGAGAGGGATGCTATGCTGTGCCGAGAAATGGACATGGTACTCCGTACTCCGTGCTGCCAACGGTAATGACATGTGCCTGTCATGGGCCTTGGCTGGATCCAGGCGTCTTCTCCAATCCCGCCTCTTCCTCGTCCCTTTGTCTGTAAAACCTCCACAAGCCCTCACATACCTCAACTTGTATTAATCCTCATCGCTGTCTCTTGTTGTACAGTCATCAGTTGGGCATCGCCACTCCACACCGGCGAACGGCCTCTTGTTTTCTAGATACAGTTTCGGATTTGGCTGGGATTTCCGATTTTCTGTTCTGTTTCTCTTACATACAATCGGCCTGATTCTCAATCAAGGCGCACCGACCGCACCATCCGATGACGACGGTCCATATACAAGACTCGACAGGCAAGCGACGCGGCGACGAAGCAAACGGCGTGCCATCCCGACGATCGTGTTGAAATAGCACCTGCGACGACTTGATACATCGACAGCCCGAATGGCATGAGATGAGACGCCGTTGTGCAGTCGATCCGACATCACATCTCCCGCTAATAGGCCGTCGCATCGAAACCCAGACGCCCATGTATCATATCATCTCGAGCATCCTGATATAGACCTCAAAGTTCCTCGCGGCCTGACTTTCTTGTTGTTTCATTTCATCCAGTTTCCCTTTCAGCATCATGATAGACCACGTCCTCGGACGGCCATCGTCCAAGTCGCGGCGCCTGCAGGTCTTGGCCGTATTGTCCTTTTGGACGTTTTATCTCTACAAGTACGTCCCCAGTCCTGTTCATTCTCGATGGAAACGACTACCTACTGACCATGAAAACAGAGGGCACAAACATGGCCCGCCAGTCGCACAGAAAATCTCCAAGTTCCTCTCCCGCAAGCTGACGGCGTGGCAGACCGTCGTCATCACCATGCTGTACCTCTACGCGGCCCGCAACTTCAGCGCCCTCGTCGGCCTGGCCAGCCCCGAGCCCATGGCCAACATGTACGACCCGACGTACTATCGGGCGACGTGGGTGCTGACGGCGCTGGACGCCGGCTTCTGGACCGCCATGAAGATCCGGTCCAAGTGGCTGCGCGACCTGGCCAGCATCGTCTTCTCGCTCTACTACCTCGTGGCGGCCGAGCGGGCGGACGAAAAGGTGCGCAAGGTCCGGGGCATGATCACGGTCGAGCACCTGCGCGTGGCGTGGAACAAGGGCACGACGCCGTACCTGGGCTTCCTGCAGCGCCTGATGCGGCCGCGCTTCACGCGGTGGCCGCCGCGCCAGGTGCGCATCCCGCGGCCGGCCAACAGCGACTACAAGGAGGCCGTCTCCGCCTGGCTCTACTACGACGGCCCGCTGGCGGACCTGGCGCACCACAGCCGCGTGGTGCTGGACATCCCCGGCGGCGGCTTCGTGGCCATGGACCCGCGCTGCAACGACGACAAGCTCTTCGCCTGGGCGTCCAAGACGGGGCTGCCCATCCTCAGCGTCGACTACAAGAAGGCGCCCGAGTACCCGTACCCGTACGCGCTCAACGAGTGCTTCGACGTCTACGTGACGCTCGTCCGGTCGCGCGGCCGCTGCATCGGCATGTCCGGCCGCGAGACGCCGCGCATCGTCGTCACCGGCGACAGCGCCGGCGGCAACCTGGCCGTCGCGGCGACGCTCATGGTGCTCGAGACGGGCATCAGCCACTTCCGGAGCGCGGCCGGCGTGGGCAAGCTGCCGCCCCCGGACGGGCTCGTGTGCTTCTACCCGACGCTGGACATGAACATTGGCAACTGGATGACGGACGAGCAGATGTCGCTCATCCGGGACCGGCGCTCGCGAAAGACGAACAAGTCCATCGTCAAGAGGAAGAGCATGCAGTACAACGACCTCGTGGGAACGCCGCATCACTCGGACAACGAGGACGAGACGACGCCGCCGCCTGCCACCAAACAGCCTGCGGTCGACAATACGCCCTCGACGACGGGAGGGACGAGGCCAGAGTATTGCCACGCCGGTCCCAGAGCGCTCAGCACTTCATCGCAGAGCCCCGGCGAGAAAAAGGACGGCGCCGTCTCCCACCGCGCCGAGCCCATGAAGACCCGCCTGGCGACGTCGTCCATGATATCCTACTTCAACGACCGCGTCCTCACGCCGGAGATGATGCGGGCCATGATCATCCTCTACATCGGCGCGCACAACCGCCCCGACTTCACGCAGGACTACTTCCTCAGCCCCGTCCTCGCCCCCGAAGAGCTGCTCGAGAACTTCCCCAAGACGTACTTTATGACGGGCGAGCGGGACCCCCTCGTCGACGACACCGTCATCTTCGCGGGGCGTCTACGCCGGGCAAAAGAAGCAGCGGCCCGCCGCCAGATGATGATGTCCTCCTCCTCCTCCCGGGCGGATCTGGACGACAACTGGACGTTTGACGACAAGGAGGTGACGGAGGTGCTCCTCATCCCGGGGACGTCGCACGGCTTCATGCAGTTTCCCGGAGTGTATCCGCCGGCGTGGAAGCACTTTGAGCGCAGCGCCGCGTGGTTCGACCAGCTGTTTGTCGATGCCGAGGCGGCGAGGGCGGAACAGGCACGACGAGCGGCTGCTGCGGCTGCAGCTGCGTCCAGGAACCAGACGACGACGCGTGATGGCTTCCGGAGACAGTCCATTGCGGAGTCGAGTGGTGATGAGGATAGGCCGCTGGAGATTAGCATGACCAAGATGTCGCGCGGACGCACGTTGTCGCAGCAGAATGGGGATGCGAACGGGCATGGCGAGGAGACGACGTCGTCGACTTCGCCGCCTGTAGACGGCAATGGAGGCAACGGAAACGGTGCCAATGGGCATGTCAACGGAGAGAGGAATGGGGCTGCTGGGAAGAAGACGAAGAAGGGCATCAGGGGGAACAAGAGCCTGGTGAAGCTGACGAGCTCGGATGACTTGCTGGGGCGGCGGATGCATGGGCTCGCGAGCGGGTTGACGAGCACGGGGGATGAGGAGCTGTACATGTGAAGTTTTGCGGCATTTTCTATGGAAAAAGGAGAAGCGCAGGCGGGAGTTTGCGTTGAGATTTTCGTCTGGTGTTTTTTTGTCGAATATAGAAGCGTGTGGACTACTATCCTTTGATGCTGTACATGTAAGGTACCTTAGGTATGTATCGGTGTTGATATGCGGCGGGCTTAGAAAAGCACATGTTGCTACCGAAAAGCCTAGAATTACTGTCCAGCGATTTCATTCATCCCATACAAAAAGCATATCTATCCTCGGCATCAAAAACAGGGGGTTGGAGGAATAGATGCCTTCTTGTGTGTTGCTTTTGTTTCATCTCCGTGCTGCCCGAGGCTATCATGGATGCTGTGCAGGTAAAACGTGTAAAACACCAACCACGCGAAACTCAACTCGGCGCCCTCCAACGTTTTCTCAGCTCTTAGAGGGGAAAAACAAAAAAAAAGTCTCGCAATCTCGGTACCTACATGCATATTACAATCGCATCTACATCCTGTAAGACCGGGCACAGCGCCACAGCGGAGACACACAACAGTGAAGATCAAAAGCTTCAGCTTTCGAAGATCATCAGGACCAGAGCAACACAAGACAGAAGAGTAAGTCGGGTCGCCGGCACTTGAGAAAACAAGGGGACCTGCCAAGCCCAGTGACGACGACGGGTAAAGTGTGATAAAAAAACAAGGGATCTGCCAAGCCCAAGCCAAGTGACGACGGGAATCCAGTTTGCCCTGAAAAGAAGATGGGGGGGGGGCTTTTTTGGTATGACCTACCTTGGTGCTAAACTACTAGCCGTCAGATCCGAGGTGTAGCTGCTGGTGGGGAAGGCAATTGGGCTGGGCCAATAATCCCGCCACTGTCCCCTCCGCATTAGAGCCACTGTGGTTAACCTCATCTAGTATAGGCTCTAGGCGGCAGTCTTCCTGAAATAGAAGGTACAGCGCCTCACATACAATTTCCCATATAAATTAATATATCTTAGATCTAATATCTATAGGCATTATATATTATAGCAATAACAGATATAATAGATTATAGGATATAGCATAGCAGGTTAATTATATAAGAGATATATCTAATTACATAGAATTTGCTAAAGAAATAATATATATATAATATAATCTATCTATTACTGTGTAAGGTTAATTACAGTCTTATATAGCTAAAGCATTACTAAACCCCTCTAGCAACGCCGGCTTTGCGCTATAACAGATGCCCTCTCCCTATTTTATATAGTAATTAGCTGTAATATTAAAGGCTAATGCAGTTAAAGAAGAATCCTATAGTTACTGCCGCCCTTAACTGAGATAAGGGCATTATAAATTAGCAATTGCAATCTAGGAGGTTTAAAAAAACGCGGCCTGTCTTCCTGCCTAAGGTTACGGCAGCTATAGATCTCTTAGGGAGCCTTAACGTATTTAAATAACAAGGCCGTATGCTGCATTTTAGATTAGGCAGCTGCAGATTGCTAGAAAGTTTAACGTTTAGGGTTTAAGGCTGGCAAGACTGGCATTTACAGCTCTATCTTAGGATTTTATAGTGTTATAGCATTTCTAAAGGCCTGTTAGATTTCCTAATAAATTATTAACTATATTATAACAGCTAGGCTGCTATTAGCAGCGCCCTAGGCCTGTAAGGCCTGCTATAATATTAAATTTACAGTATTTTGCGTTTATAGTTATTATTAACAATGTTAATACGCCGCTAGCATAGCTAACAGGTTATTTCTTAGCGCGTTTCTTCTAGCTATAACTTAAAGGTTGCAAAATCAGCAGTATAGATCTAATTCCTCCTGTTTTTATTAGTAAAATAATATAAGAAGAAGTAAGGAAGACTTAAGAAGCATATAAGGCTAAATAAAAGCAGCTAGTAGTTATTAAAAAATGCAATTAGCAGCGCGTTTTAGGCTATAATAGACCGCTGCTTGCTATTATAAGATACCTTAAGGGTCAGGAAGTCATTAATAATATATGCATAAGGCAAACTATACTGCTTTATAAATAATTCTATATAGGAAGATAGGGAATTTTCTCTAGGATTTAGTCAGGCTGCCTTTACCTTTAAATATTACTAACTAATAAGGTTAAGGCCTTTCTATAACACCCTGTGGATTGCGTTATAAAATAACTTATAGCAGAAACGATTTTGCAATTATATAGTCTTAAGACTTAATTTCTCTTTAAATCTCGCTTTTACTGTCTTTTACTGCTTAAGAATAGCATAAAAAAGCTCTTGCAGATTATTATAACGCTTCTAAAAGAAGGATTTTATGCTTAAATATTATGCCTTACTTAGGGAAGTTATATAATGCCTATAGTTATGGTATTTTTTTATAAATGCGACAGCCTACTGTTTATAGATAAGGAGGTAGATTTCTTTAAGGTATTTTAAAAGCTTTATCTCTATTAGTAATAGCAGTGAAAATAGAAAGAAAATAACATCTTACTAGTCTGCTAGGCATAATCTATTTCTATCTCGGCCTAGATGTTATTAAACCGCAATAGCGTTAAGGCATAAAGGAGACTGCGCTAAGCGATAAGAAAGTCGTTCCTTATCTTCCAGCAGGTTGTTGTCTAACGCGCTAAAGGTGCAGCATTTTTATTAACAAGCTCTTAAACGGTTAGATTATGCGATTCTGCCTTAACAGGACTGATCTAGTCCTTATAAACAGCTTTAAGGATGTTCTTAAAAATATGCTAGATATAAAGCTGCTTCTAAGTGGTCTTAAAGATATTAGAAATTGCAAGATGTTTAGCAGTAGTAAAATCTGTAATAATAATGCATAAATTAAGCTTATCTGCCGGCCTTAACATTCTGTATTAGCTAGTCTGCAGAGATAACTTTAAATTCCTTAAAACCTATATATAAAATGCCTTATCTTCCTTATAGCTTAATATAAAAGCTATAAGGAAAATAGTGCTAAAAGATGTAATGCTATTAATCTCTAGAAGCTTTATGCTATAGCGATTTATATTATATATAACATTTATTATTATTATATCCAGCAAGGCCTGCTATATTATAAAATCGCAATTAATAATAATAAAGAGATACTTAACAGAATCCTATTTATCTAGCTTCTTCTTATACTAGAAGCCGCTGTTATCTAACTCTTTTAAAAGCGCCTGGGTTGCTGTATGTTTATTAAGGGACTGGCAAAGCCTCTAAGATATTATATTTTAAATATCCTGCTTTATAATAAGACTGTTGTGATTCTAGGCTTCTAGGGCGCGTTTAGCAGCTCTTGCCGTTAAGCCTATCTTATCATTATAAAGGAAAAAGAGGATTTAATGCGGATTAAGCCAGCAATGCTTAAGGAACAAGGCCGTGCCTCTAGGGTTATGATTATAGCTGCTGTTAAGGATCTCTATCATCTACTGGTTAAATAGTTTAAATTTCTGTATAATTTTAATATAAAAAGGGCAGCCTAGCTTACAAGAGCTTATAGCCTAAAGGCCGCTGCCTTTATTAGTCTAGTTTCCTGCGCAGGCATAGGCAATATTATATTAACGCAGCTGTTTATTTAAATAGTTAGAGGAGCGCGACTAGATAACGGCAAAGCCTTAATCTTTCGCATGCGCTTAAAGGGATTTAAAAGCTTCCTTATAGCCCTAAAATAGACTAAGTTAGTGCAGTAGCTGCAGTAGCATTGCAGATTAAAGGTATTTTTATTATTGTGTTAATGTGGCTTTTTTTCTGCGATTGCATGTTTTAGTGTTGCGGCGTTGTTATTATGGTGCGGCGGGGTTGTTATAGCCGCGCCGCCTGACAACCCTAAATCCAAGATACATTAATTTGTATGAGAAATTGTATGTGAGGCGCTGTACCTTCCATTTTAGGAAGTCCGCGAGCCTCTAGCCAGATGAGGTTAACCACAGTGGCTCTAATGCGGAGGGGACAGTGGCGGGATTATTGGCCATTGGGCTGCTGAATGGATGAGTCGATTGGGTAGGGAGGGGGGACTTGCATGAGTGTGTAACTTGCATGAGGGCATCGAAGAGGGGGAGGGGCAGGCAGAGGTAAGCAGGGGTTTTCGGTTTTGAAGATGCAAGGTAGAAGCGGACGTGAGGATGAGGGTGATGAGGATGAAGAAGAGGCAGAAAAGGGGGGAAGAATGCAACTATCTAGACTACTATAGCTGTATGAGCAGGGAATCCTTGAGTCGTTTGTGCAAAAAATGCCCAGATATAGACTCATGCATTGGCTCCTCAATGCATCGTCTTCGAATGAAGAGCAAGTTTCCCACCCAAAGATGCATCATCATGGCATCCAAACACAGACAACCACAGCGCCCATCCCTTCTCAGCCATTGGATCTCCTCCTCATGCATCCCCCCCAAGCTCCCCCTTCCAGCACCCCACCGCTGGATCCAGCAACGACCCAACTAGTAGGCCGTGGATCTAGTGGCTTGCGGCCGGAAGATGGTGGCCGAGCAGGTACTTGTACCATTTGGTGGTGATGATGATGCGTCGTCATGCATGCCCGAGGCTAGAACAGCTTAGGGGCAGCGAATTGTCCATTGTTTTTTTTGCAAAGGACTGGGTCAGGAGGAGACGGGCTGCCTCTGAAGCTCTTGTTGTTGCATTGGGCCTCTTATGTATGTTGCTGCAGCTGGACTGGGTAACAGCTACCTATGCAAGCTACTAGGACTCGAATCGGTCCAACGTGTGCCAGTCATATTTGTTTGTTTGCCTCGAGTGTGGACTTGGGGATGGGCGTTTTGGGAGCCCCTCATCATGACATGCTTGTTTGTGCAGTGACGGCCTCGTACATGTAATCGACACCAACTGCTCCCACTTATACGAAGAGCTACTATATATACCTACTCCTCTCCCCAGTGCTGCAATTCTTAAGCTGTTTCTTCCTCTTCTTCTCTCCCTCCTCCTCCATATACCCTCACCACTTCCATTCTTCTTCTTCATTCCACCACCACCACCACAAGTCCTCATCATGGTCCACCTCACCGCAATCAGCCGCTCCGGCTCCGTCACGCCCTCGGACGAGCGAGCACCAGCACCCCCCGCCGCCGGCGCCTCCTCAGGCCCGACGCTCGCCGTCACCGACAACACCCGGCCCAGCCTGCACAAGAGCCTGTCGCAGGTCAAGCTGTCGAGCTATGCCGACGAGTTCACCACCAGCGTCTACGGCTCGCAGTTTGCGGGCCAGGACCTGCCCAAGCACAGCATGCCCGCCGGGGCGATGCCGCGGGACGTTGCGTACCACATGATTAAGGACCATTTGAGTCTGGACAATAACCCGAAGCTCAAGTATGTTTTCTGATACACACTTGAAGAAGGAGAAGAAGAAGAAGGATACATGCTGATTCTGGGAATTCTGTAGCTTGGCGTCCTTTGTCACGACTTACATGGTACGTCCACTTACAACAACAACAGCCATCACCCCCATTCAAATTGACCACACACTGAGTACTGTAAACAGGAAGACGAAGCCGAAAAGCTCATGACAGAGGCCTTTTCCAAAAACTTCATCGACTACGAGGAGTACCCCCAATCGGCCGACATCCAGAACCGCTGCGTCAACATGATCGGCGACCTGTTCCACGCGCCCGCCGGCGGCGAGAGCGTCGGCACCTCGTGCATCGGCTCCTCCGAGGCCATCATGCTCGCCGTCCTGGCCATGAAGCGCCGCTGGAAGCTCCGCCGCCAGGCCGAGGGCAAGCCCGCCGACCGGCCCAACATTGTCATGTCCTCGGCCGTCCAGGTCTGCTGGGAGAAGGCGGCGCGCTACTTCGAGGTCGAGGAGAAGTACGTCTACTGCACCGAGACGCGGTACACCATCGACCCCGAGGAGGCCGTCAACCTGATTGACGAGAACACGATTGGCATCGCGGCCATCCTGGGGACGACGTACACGGGGCACTACGAGGACGTCAAGGGCATCAACGACTTGCTCGTCGAGCGCGGCCTGGACGTGCCCATCCACGTTGACGCGGCGAGCGGCGGCTTCGTGGCGCCGTTTGTGCTGCCGGACCTGGAGTGGGACTTTAGACTGCCTCAGGTCGTCTCCATTAACGTCTCCGGCCACAAGGTGATTCCCTTCCTCCTCCTCACCCCCTTCATATCATTCTTGACCGAACATCGCTGACATTGAGAGTTTCATATAGTACGGCCTCGTCTACCCCGGCGTCGGCTGGGTCGTCTGGCGCTCCCACGAATACCTCCCGCAGGACCTCATCTTCAACATCAACTACCTCGGCGCCGAGCAGTCCTCCTTCACCCTCAACTTCTCCAAGGGCGCCTCCCAGGTCATCGGCCAGTACTACCAGTTCATCCGCCTCGGCCGCCGCGGCTACGAATCCATCATGAGCAACCTCACCCGCACCGCCGACTACCTCACCGACGTGCTCGAGCAGTCGCTCGGCTTCGTCATCATGTCCGAGCGCAACGGCCAGGGCCTGCCGCTCGTCGCCTTCCGCTTCAAGACCGCTGCGGAGGGCGGCAAGCAGCGCCACTACGACGAGTTCGCCCTCGCCCACCACCTCCGCAGCAGGGGCTGGGTCGTCCCCGCGTACACCATGGCGCCGCACACGGACCAGATGAAGATGCTGCGCGTCGTCGTCAGGGAGGACTTTTCCAAGAGCAGGTGCGATTTGCTCATCCACGACATCAAGCTGTGCCTGGCCATGCTGGAGAACATGGACGCCGAGACGGTGCGCAAGCAGGAGGAGTTTATCAAGGAGCACATCTCGACGCATGGCAAGAACAAGACGAACCACAGGCACCATGCCTCGAAGCACTACACGGTGAGTTTTTTTTTTCTTTCTTTTCCCCCTCTCCCATTGACCCCCGTTTGAGGATGAGAGAGGATGATGGAAGCTGACAAGTTCTGTGATAGGGCGAGGAGCATTCGCTGCAGGGCAAGACTGGCAAGACGCATGCCATCTGCTAATCTCTCGGAGTCAACTGTTGGGGACACGGGATGAGAGGAAGAAAGAATAAAAGTAAAATAGGGGCGCAAAATAAGAACCCGCAGATACAGGTCCGATATATATATCTACATGTGAATCACGATTTGCTTTTTTCTATACTAGGTATCTGCCACTCA